TGACCGTATAGACCAGGGGTGGGCAAACTTTTTTGACTTGAGGGCCGCAATGGGTTCATATATTGGACCCGGGGGCCGGACCAAGAGTAGATGAATGATGTGTATGTGTCATCCATAGTAAGTATAGTAATATTCCCCCATAGTAAGCATAGTAATTAATCCTCCATATAGTAATTCATCCCCCATAGTAATTCATCCCCCATAGTAATTAATCCCCCATATAGTAATTCATCCCCCATAGTAATTCATCCCCCATAGTAATTCATCCCCCATATAGTAATTCATCCCCCATAGTAATTAATCCCCCATATAGTAATTCATCCCCCATATAGTAATTCATCTCCCATATAGTAATTCATCCCCCATATAGTAATTCATCCCCCTATAGTAATTCATCCCCCTATAGTAATTCATCCCCCCTATAGTAATTCATCCCCCATAGTAATTCATCCCCCATATAGTAATTCATCCCCCCATATAGTAATTCATCCCCCATATAGTAATTCATCCCCCCATATAGTAATTCATCCCCCATATATAGTAATTCATCCCCCATATAGTAATTCATCCCCCATATAGTAATTCATCCCCCATATAGTAATTCATCCCCCATAGTAATTCATCCCCCATAGTAATTCATCCCCCATAGTAATTCATCCCCCCATAGTAATTCATCCCCCATATAGTAATTCATCCCCCATATAGTAATTCATCCCCCATAGTAATTCATCCCCCATATAGTAATTCATCCCCCATAGTAATTTCATCCCCCCTATAGTAATTCATCCCCCCTATAGTAATTCATCCCCCATATAGTAATTCATCCCCCATATAGTAATTCATCCCCCCATATAGTAATTCATCCCCCATAGTAATTCATCCCCCCTATAGTAATTCATCCCCCCTATAGTAATTCATCCCCCATAGTAATTCATCCCCCCTATAGTAATTCACCCCCCATAGTAATTCATCCCCCCACATAGTAATTCATCCCCCATATAGTAATTCATCCCCCATATAGTAATTCATCCCCCCATATAGTAATTCATCCCCCATATAGTAATTCATCCCCCATATAGTAATTCATCCCCCATAGTAATTCATCCCCCCATATAGTAATTCATCCCCCATATAGTAATTCATCCCCCATAGTAATTCATCCCCCATAGTAATTCATCCCCCATATAGTAATTCATCCCCCATAGTAATTCATCCCCCATATAGTAATTCATCCCCCATAGTAATTCATCCCCCCTATAGTAATTCATCCCCCATAGTAATTCATCCCCCATATAGTAATTCATCCCCCATAGTAATTCATCCCCCCTATAGTAATTCATCCCCCCTATAGTAATTCATCCCCCATAGTAACTCATCCCCCCTATAGTAATTCATCCCCCCCTATAGTAATTCATCCCCCACATAGTAATTCATCCCCCATATAGTAATTCATCCCCCATATAGTAATTCATCCCCCCTATAGTAATTCATCCCCCCTATAGTAATTCATCCCCCATATTAAGTCCCCAAGTCCCCCTGTGTCAATTCACTTACCTTTGCTCCTCGCGTTCCTCTAGCCATGTTCCCGCGCCGTTCAGGTGTAGCATGAACATCTGTCTCCTATGAGGATCTGTCTCCCTCGACGTATCTGCGCATGTGCCAGTTTCAGGCATTAGCAGCCGATCGGCGATCTCCGGCACATGCGCAGATACGTCGAGGGGGACAGATCCTCATAGGAGACAGATTTTCATGCTACACGGCGGACTGTGAGAGGAGCCTAGCGGGAGCCTAGCTCCGCGGGCCGGATTAAAAGGTCCGCCGGGCCGTATACGGCCCGCCGGCCGTAGTTTGCCCATTGCTGGTATAGACACTCCAGATTGCTTTGCTGCTTATCTACACTGAACATATAGATGGCTTATGCTGGACTGCTGGACTGCTTATCTATACTGACTATATAGGCAGCCCATTCTACTCTTCTGTACTGACCATATATATGGCCCACTCTGCAGTGCTGTACTTCTTACCTGTACTAACCATATACTGTAGATAGTAAGCTCTGGACCACTGTTTATCAATACTGGCCATATAGACAGCATGATCCAGACTGCTGTTATTGTGACATAATGGGGGGGATTTACTAAAATTGGAGTGCTCCGAATCTTCTGCAGCTGTGCATGGTAACCAATCAGCTTCTAACAGCTTGTTCAACTAAGCTTTGACAATAAGTGCCTGGTCAAAGCGGTGCAATTTCAAGTGCTATCTGCGAATTGAAATCGCACCTGAAATCACATCTAATGAATGTGAACGTCAGTGTCTTAACATGTACAATTTAATGCAGCATGATTTCTAAAGTAGCCCTTGCAGTTTATTGCAATTTCACATACTTAGAATATAATGGAAATCGCAAAGCAAATTGCAAGAAATCTTTGAAAATCTTCACAAATCCCAATAAAATCTTTAGAAATCGCATCCGAAATCACGCTGAAATCGCACACAAATTGCTTGATTTTAAATCGCAGCAGTGTGATCGGTGACTAAAACCTGGAAGCTGATTGGTTTCTATGCGGAGTTTCACCAGGGTTTGCATTCTTCAGCTTTAGTAAATAGCCCCCAATGTGACTTTCTCCGAAGGTGTTCTCACTCTGCAAAAATACAGACAGACCTTATCATGAACATAGCATTAGCCAATTCACTGACTTCTATCTGATCTGCAGTAATGCCCATATGTGTTCCCTTCTAGGAGCTCTCCATATGGGCCTACCCAACCTCCCCAGGATTGGTTGAGGATAATATTGTGTGCTGCATTAAGGACAACCCAGAGCCTGTCATATTCCACTTGTGTTGTCGCGGCGTGCGTCCAGAACTTGAACTAGACCGCAAGCAAGTTCACTTTGAGAAAATTCTGGTGCATCGGTAAGACAGATGAGGACCAAATACCCAATTTCAGAGACCCCAAGTTACCTCGGTGTAAATGGGGATCAGCCTTTGCTGCTTATGCTGTTGTCTGTTTCTGACTTTTGGTGGTGTGCAGTCATCTAGTTTTCCATCATCTCCCATTGATGTATAGTCATCTTGTATTCTGTGCTCCAATGATGTACAGCTATCTAGCTGTATGCGTGTTATACATAGATTCTGCGTGTCACATTCTCATTCTCTGATTTGCACAAATAACAGGAAAGACACCAAAACCATCTTCCTGAGGAACAGTACTTTCCTGCCGGCAGCTTGGCGGGTGACGGGCCTGGAGAATCTGGGCGATGACTTCTCTGTGTCACAGGATCAGGGTATTGTTGCTCCCCCGATCAGAGTATGGATTACAGCTCCACTTCAAAGCTGCCAAAGCCACCAACGTCAAGAAGTTTATTCGCCTGGAGGTATTGAAGCCTACTGATTTCCTAAACCTTCCTTTGTGCAGGGGACTCTGTGTTTCCTTGAGTTTATTGCATTACTTGATCTCTTGAAGATGGAAATCTCTCAGTGGTTGACCTATCAGAATATTCTGTCTTCTCCATGCAGGTCTCTGATGTGGAGAACATTCTGGGGATTGTCCAGCTGGAAAACATCCATGTGTTTGCAGAGTCTTATGACGTGTCCCTAGATATCAGCTTCCCAAAAGGTACTCAAAGTTCACCATTCCCATTTCTAGATTATCAAACTGGACATTCTATGTACACATATAGAATATTACCATTCATCATGTTTTGTATCCATGTTATGTAAATAAATGACTAGGGCAACCTCTTGTCATCCATTGACAAAACTCAACTGTTCACCTTTCATGAAAGCTACTGCAAGACTTATCTGTTCTCCACCTCTCCCATCTGCCCTCCTCCTCTTCCATCTGCCCTTCACCATTTATACCCACCCCCTACCTCTTCCTTTCCTTCCTGCCCTTTACCTCCCCTTTCTGCCCTTCATCTCTTCTACCTGCCCTAAATCTCTCCCATTAACCCCTTTCTCATTGTGTAAAGTGTTGCTTACCTTCTAGTATGTAAACTGTCTTGGTCAGGGAACTCTTTTACTCTTGTGTCCTGTATTTCCTGTAGTTGTATTGAACACATTTTTCCTCTCATTGCAGGCACAGATGGTGGATTGGATTTTGGGGTGGTGAAGGTGATGGATGAAGCTAAGCATAGTCTGTCACTGAAGAACAAAGGCAAATATGAGATTGGCTTTAGGTGAGTGTTTCAGACCTTTGTCGCTCCTTCTTGATGGTGTGTTGGTGTGTAATCTCCTTTCCTGTCCACAGTTTCTCTCTGGAAGCCTCCAGTCCTGGAATGCCTGATCTGAACTCTATATTCACCATATTGCCCCAGAAAGGAACTCTCAGCCCCAGTGACCGGGCTACTCAGGTACAGATCATCTTCCAAGCCAAGAAGGAAGTGCAGATTACAGATAAACCCATCTTGAAATGTCAGGTGAGTAATGCTGGACTCACTCAGTATATTGATTGAACTCACGCATTAGATTGATGTCGGACTCGCTCAGATTTTTGTCTGACTCGCTCAGTAGACTAATGTTGGACTCACTCGGTAGACTGATGTTTGGACTCACTCATTAGATTTATTTTGGACTTTCTCAGTAGATTTATAAAGGACTCAATAGATTGATGTTGGACTTACTCGGTAGATTGATGTTGGACTCACTCGGTAGATTGATGTTGGACTCACTCGGTAGATTGATGTTGGACTCAATCGGTAGATTGATGTTGGACTCACTTGGTAGAATAATGTTGGACTCACTTGGTAGATTGATGTTGGACTCACTTTGTAGATTGATGTTGGACTCACTCTGTGGATTGATATTGGACTCGCTCAGAAGACTGATGTTGGACTCATTCTAATCCTTCTTCTCTCCTTCTATTCCTTTCTATGCAGGTTATTGAACCAAATCTAAGTGAGGGAGGTGAGACAATTGCGAGTATCCCCATCCGATTGTCTGTCACATCTGCTTTCTCCAAGTACCGTCTAACACCATCCTCCGACATCAACTTTGGCGCCATGGTAATCGGGGTCCGCAAGCTTCATTCTTTCACCTTGGAGAACTGCGGGCTACTGGAGTTCCGTTACAGCATTAGCAAAATGATCGGCGAGGTGATGATCCAACCTGCTAAAAAGGGGTAAGATGGGCAATGGCCTGTGTATAAAGAGTAAATTCAATCTTGATCCTATTCACAAAGATGTGGTGGGCACTTTCTAACTGAACCCAACAAAAGTGACAATAACCCAACTACATCTAATTAGCGGATAACTTTGCAAATATATATGAGGATTGGCTATATTTTTGGTCATGTACAGGGCCCACAGAAGGCATGTATGGGGCCGGTAAATGTCATGCACGGAGCTCATTGATGGCTTACACAGGACCAATTCATTAAAACTGCAGACAAGAAAAAGAGGATAAAAGTGGAATGGTTTTCCAAAGCAATCAATGAGGATTCACCTTTCATGTTTTGAAAAAAATCTGATTGGCCACTGCGGATTATTAACCGCACCTTTGTGCACAATTTTTTTTCTCTAGTTTTATTGGATCAGCACCATAGAGTTGACGCATATAGAATGAACCTCCGTGAACCTTTTTGGAAATGTGTCCTCACTGGTTTCAGTCAGTAATAATTTATAATGACCCAAGATGGATTAGTTAAAAAGTAGTATCTAAATGGTCCTCCTGTAATACTCTGCACAGCAGTAATCAGATGGGATGGGAGGAGCAGCACTGGATCCAGTCACCTTCTGTGACAATGTGTTACAATCTTACCAGAGTGCTGCTGCTTTTTCATTGTCAGATTACAGGCTGGGAGCAGGTCCTGGACCAGGCTATGCGTTTCAATTGAAGGTAGTCTGCAGAAAGGTTATAGGAAGGGTGGAACCCAGCAGTGCTATCCCGCAGGGGTGTCTGGATGACAGGCACACTTGAGAAGAAAGCCTTTGGCATGCAGGACGGTTTCCATATACTGTACTGTATGTATTGCAATTGTGTATTTAGCTGTTTGAAGCAGGCCTCTGCTCATGACTAAAAATCTCTATTCCAGGCTGGCTCACGGCATGAAGAGATCTCGCTCTCGGGAGGGTTCTGGATCCAGTAGATCTGTTGCATTAAGTAAAACCAAGCGCTCAGATTCCCAGCTGAGAGAGACAAATGTTTCTGGACAGGTGGGCCGATATCTCTATGTTTGTAAGAAAAGATAGATGACACATTACACAGAGCAATCCCCGGCTCCTTAGTATGGCTTTTCATGCCTGTCATTCGGACCTTCCAGTGCCCTTGGTGTACAGAAATGGGTTGGACAGGACTGGAGGGGACAGGAGTGGGGTGGACAGGATCATGGTGGACAGGAGCAGGGTAGAAAGAAATGAGGCTGACATGATCATGGTGGACAGGAGTGGGGTGGACAAGATCACTGTGGACGGAAGTGGGGTGGACAGGATCATGGTTGACAGAACTGGGGTGGACAGGACTGGAGGGGACAGGTTTTGGGGTGGACAGAATTATGGTGGACAGGATCATGGTGGACAAGAGATGAGTGGACGGAATCATTATGATCAGCAGTGGAGTGGACAGGAGTAGGGTGGACAGAAGTGGGGTGGGCAGGATCATGCTGGACAGAAGTAGGTTGGACAAGGTCACTCTGAACAGAAGAGGGATGGCTGCTGTGCATAGAGATCCAACTTGTCTCATGTTTCCCCCATGTCTGTCTTTCAGGCGCGCTTTGCTCTGGGCATGTTCACCATTTCGCCCGGCTTTGGAAACATTCCTCCAGGGGGTCAGCAGGTAATCACTGTGGAGTGTTTTGTCGATCAGCTCGGGAAGAGTGAGGAATTCCTGGCTGTAGATATCTCTGATCGGAACCCAGAGGACCATCCAAATGGAATCCCCTTCCGACTAGTGACTGAAGGCTGCATTCCTGGTAAGGCTAATACCCTTCACCTTTGCACACTATTCTTACTTATACTGTTAACGCTTCCTTTTATGTGAACCTGTCCCTCACACACAAGTCGCATCGACTATGTAGTTTATACAGCTGTACATTCCAATCTATATTATGGATACACACCTTTATGCTATTACATACTATTTTTTATTTTGAATACACACATGTATGAACAATCCATTCTGTATTTTGAATACTCACATGTATGAACAATCCATTCTGTATTCTAAATACACACCTGTATGAAGTTCTCTCTGTTCTAGGCTGGTGTAGTTATCAAGTATTAACCCTTTGGGGCTCCACTTTAGGGCTCCTTCACACCATGCTGCAGAGACGTCAGTTTTTCTGCACACGTTCTGCAAAGGCACAATGACATCAGTTGTTCTCTTTGTGTCCTGTTCATACCACAACACTGGTATCTTGCAGATTTTTTTTCTGCGCACGTGAAATCTGCAACGTGTATAAAAAACTCACATGTGAAGCGTGTGAGAAAACTGATGTAAATTGATGTCTCTGCAAGTGAAATCTGCATGTCAGTTTGCATCAGTTTTTCTGCACGTATGGTGTGAACAAGGCCTTAATCACTCCATAGAAGCTGCTAGTTTACATAGTAGTATCTGATTGTAAGAGAGACAGGTCCACTTTATTTATAAGAATGTGTGCTTTAGTCATTGTTGTCCTCTCTAAATAATCCTCATACTTTGTTCATTTCAGGATTTGTCACAGATGATATTGGCAGCATTTTTGAGGAGCACAGGATCATTGGAGATGCCAGGATTCTCCAGTGTCTTCCACCATTGCAGTCCGGTGGAATTTACCTGAAGGATGAGAATCGCTTCCTGTTTTGGAACGTCATTGTAGGACAGACTTCCTGCTGAAGGATGAGAACTCGCTTTAAGATCATCAACAGGGGGAAAGTGGCCTGTGATGTGACGCTGAGTGCCAAACCCATGTCCAGTAAGGTACAGAAGTTTTTATGCTGGTGATGGTGACATGAATTGTTCTGACGGAACCTGAATCTGACTGGCTGCTTGCAGATTAATTCACTTGACACTGGCCTATTGAGTAATCCTGTATGTGGATGTGGGGAGGATCTTATGTCAGCACTGTATGGTAAACTGGCCATTCTTCTTTCTCTAGTCCACATCTCGGATCACCGACATCTTTGAAATCCAGCCATCACGGATGACTGTCCCGAGTCACAGTCATAGCTTTGTCAGCGTGTCCTTCACCCCGCAGAGTATGCAGATGTACCAGTGCGTCTTTGAGGTGGCAGTGGAGGGAATGCCAAGGTACAAAGTGATCTGCCAGGCATGCTGCATGTAGTATGAGGCAACGTGAAGGGTATGTCATGAGAGCACAGTATATCGACAGATAAGGGCAATATAGAGAGTATGCCAGGAGAGTATAGTACGCTGTAGTATGATAAAACATGCGGAATATGTCAAAAGAGTATATTGTACTACGAGACATCATGGAAAGTATGTCAGGAGATCACAATCTGGAGACAATGTGACCCGGACATATCCAGGATAAAACCACCCTGGCTTAAATCCACAGTAGCTTAGCCAAATTCCTCTGAAGACTCAGTTTTATCAGAAACACAAATTTTAACTGTGGAGTGAAGGATTTGTAATTAGTTTGAGGATCTCCCATGGAAAAACCCTGCATGGTGCTTCTCAGTGTCCTCATAAGGCTGTAATGTACCCATCGTGGTGTTATGAAATGAAATGTCTCCTGTATGAACATTTGTTTCTTCTCTCCTTCTTTAGTTCTCTTTCAAAGTCCCAAAACTTGACCTTTGACATCTGTGGGGAGGGCAACCTTCCCCGGGTCACCATCTTACGACCTGTACTGCGCAACAAGCATGGAAGCCCTGTCCTACTTTTCCAAAGACTTCTGATTGGTCAGAGCCAGCAGCTCCCCTTCATTTTAAAGAAATGAAGGATCCATCCCAGCCCAGGTGACCGTCCCCCCTCCAGCACTGTACACACATACTTCCAGTATATGTAGTGTCCCATCTATAACAATATTGCAGAGTACACACTGATATCCAGCACTCTGCACATATATAGTGTCCTGTCTATAATAATACACTGATATCAAGTACCCTAGCCTGTTTGTGGCAATGTAATAGCTATCTATTGTGTATTACATCCTGTGTTGTAGTGTCTTACTGTGCAGCACAGTAATGATATACAGCATGTTACATAGTATGATACCCCTTTATAATACATTGTAATAGAGTTGAATCATACAGGTGCCTTATCTATGTATTCTATCAGTAACTGAATTTCTCCTCTGACAGCTGAACCTTGACTTACCTGAATTTGGAAAAGTCTTCAATTTAAAGCCAAAGCCCAACACACACTGCATCTACTCAGCCTGGGATCAGGGAGGAGAGCCAGGTGAGAAACCACCAACTATCCTCAATGTTGTGTGTATCAGTGTGTGACGTACCACCATTCCGAGTGCTGTGTTTACTAGTGTGGAGTCCAGCCATCCTTAGTGCTGTGTGAATATCATTGTGGAGTGGGGAGGGTCATAGAAGTTGTGTTTCATTTCGTGTTCACAGTTTCTTGTGTCCCACAGTGCACCGGCCACATACCGCCTCACTGATCGTTCGTCCAGGGGATGTGGCAGAATTCGATGTGGTCTTTTGTCCCACTGAACCGCTGCGATGTGAATGCGCCTTGCAGATGTCAGTGCTTGACAATCAGTATGAGAAGACCAGTGTACAGCTGGTTGGGGAGGGGTACTTGGAAGACCTGACTCTTGACAATATCCATAGCCCAGGAGGACTGTTCACCCCTGAAGGACAACTGGATGATGATGTTGTGGAAGGTAAAGCTCTCCTGCTCCCCTCTCCTGCTATACCCAAGTGCCCCCTTCCTGCTATACTAGAATGCTCCCCTTCCACTTTACGTGAGCCTCCACTCCCTCCCATTATACTCGATGGCCACCCTCCCACTATACCTGAGCCAGTTCTTCCATCCCTTGTTATGCCTGAATTACACCCATTCTGCCCAGCATACCTTAGTCCCTGTTCCATCACTGTGATATTCTGTTTTATGTAACAGCTACCCGGACAGAGCACATTGTTTTTGGGGACTGTCATATTGGTCAGCAATACCAGGTGACGTTCACCATGACAAACCGCAGCCTGACGGACACCATGAGGTTTGATTGGCCTCAGGAGGCTCCGCTGGACTTCTTCCCTCAGGTATGGTATGAAGGTGTTGCAGTGCAGTCACCTGCCATAGACATGAGATACAGGAGTCACTGTGTGTCCTGCCCACAGGTTGGACATATACATGCTGGCTGCACCAAGGACGTGACGCTCTCCATGAAGTCTGATGTGGCCGTGGTGCTGGACAAGTCTCCGGTGAAGTGCAGAGTGTGGAGGATCTCATTTCCACTTCCTGTGGATCAGGTGCCAGACTGGGATGACAGAATGAGGACCGTTAAGTGGGTAGACGGCAGAAAAGGAGTGCAGCGCCCCACCAAGAAGAAGGTGAGCTGGAAGAAACCAAAGTGAGCATCCACTCACAGTAACATGATGGTGGGAAGAAACTTAATTCATGTCATGATGTGAGGTTATCTGGATTTATTGTACGGAACCATCTTCATGTCACAGAGCTTTATTAAACTCACTATCTGGGCTAAAGACTATGGGAGGACAGGGCAGGAGGCAGGGTTAGACTACTGGTCAGATATTAGCCGGTTCTGAGGGGGCTAGTGGGTCTGTGATGGCAGGATGAATGGCTGGGTGTCTTTGGTTAGAGAAGTGCTCAGTTGTGGAGTTCCCCCGGAGCAGTACTGCTTCCATAATAGACATCTGTCTGCAGGTGATAGAGACAGATCCGGAGCCGGAACACACACTTCTGGATGATGGGTCTCACCAGGTGGAGCTGTTAGTGAGCGCTGCTGTGGACTATGCTCAGTACAAGGCCAATTCTGAAGACATCCATTTCCGGGATACCCTCTTGTATCAGACACTAATGTACAAGTGAGTGCACAGAGAAGTAAAGACCTTTGACAGGAACTGAGGACGTTCTTATCTGTGTGCAGGAACTGACCTCCTCTCTATATCTGTGTGCAGGAACTGTCCTCCTCTCTATATCTGTGTGCAGGAACTGTCCTCCTCTCTATATCTGTGTGCAGGGAACTGTCCTCCTCTCTATATCTGTGCGCAGGAACTGACCTCCTCTCTATATCTGTGTGCAGGAACTGTCCTCCTCTCTATATCTGTGTGCAGGAACTGACCTCCTCTCTATATCTGTGTGCAGGAACTGACCTCCTCTCTATATCTCTGACCTCCTCTCTATATCTGTGTGCAGGAACTGACCTCCTCTCTATATCTGTGTGCAGGAACTGACCTCCTCTCTATATCTGTGTGCAGGAACTGTCCTCCTCTCTATCTCTGTATGCCAGAACTGACCTACTATCTAGCTCTGTGTTCTGGATGTGACTGCCTCCCCATCTCTGTCTGCAGGAACTGACTTCCTCTGTTTTTTTGTGCAGGAATTGACTTCCTCTCTGTTTTTTTGTGCTGGAACTGACCTCCTCTTTGTCTCTGTGTGCTAAAACTGACCTCTTCTGTATCTCCATGTGCAGAAACATACCTCCTTTCTATCTCTGTGTGCTGGAACTGACTTCTTCTCTATCTCTGTGTGCAGGAACTGACCTCCTCTCTATCTGTGTGCAGGAAGTGGCTTCTTCCCTGTCTCTGGGTGCAGGATCTCACCTCTATCTCTGTTTGCAGGAACTGACCTTTTTTTTCTATCTCTGTGTGCAGGAACTGACCTGTTATCTAGCTCTTTGTGCTGGATGTGACCACCTCCCTATCTCTGTCAACAGGAACTGACTTACTCTCTGTTTTTTTGTGCAGGAACTGACCTCCTCTTTGTCTCTGTGTGCTAGAACTGACCTCTATCTCTGTGTGCAGAAACATACCTTATTTCTATCTCTGTGTGCTAGAACTGATCTCTTCTCTATCTCTGTGTGCAAAACATACCTTTTTCTATCTCTGTGTGCAGAAACATACCTTTTTCTATCTCTGTGTGCATGAACTGACCTCCTCTCTATCTGTGTGCAGGAAGTGGCTTCTTCCCTGTCTCTATGTGTAGGAACTCATCTCTATCTCTGTGCAGGAACTGACCTCCTCTCTATATCTGTGTGCAGGAACTGACCTCAACTCTGTATCTGTGTGCAGGAACTGACCTCCTCTCTATATCTGTGTGCAGGAACTGACCTGCGCTCTATCCCTGTATGCCAGAACTGACCTGCTATCTAGTTCTGGATGTGACTGCCTACCCATCTCTATCTGCAGGAACTGACTTCTTCCTCTCTGTTTTATTGTGCAGGAACTGACCTCCTCTCTGTCTGTGTACAGGAAGTGACTTCTTCCCTGTCTCTGGGTGCAGGATCTCACCTCTATCTCTGTTTGCAGGAACTGACCTTTTCTCTATCTCTGTGTGCAGGAACTGACCTGTTATCTAGCTCTTTGTGCTGGATGTGACCACCTCCCTATCTCTGTCAGCAGGAATTGACTTACTCTCTGTTTTTTTGTGCAGGAACTGACCTCCTCTTTGTTTCTGTGTGCTAGAACTGACCTCTTCTCTATCTCTGTCTATGTGCAGAAACATACCTTCTTTCTATCTCTGTTTGCAGGAACTGACCTCCTCTCTATCTGTGTGCAGGAAGTGGCTTCTTTCCTGTCTCTATGTGCAGGAACTCACCTCTATCTGTGTGCAGGAACTGACCTCCTCTTTATCTCTGTGTGCTGAAACTGACCTCCTCTTTATCTGTGTGCAGGAAGTGGATTCTTCCCTGTCTCTATAGGCAGGAACTCACCTCTATCTCTGTGCAGGAACTGACCTCTTCCTCTATCTCTCTGCAGAAACTGACCTCCTTTCTATCTCTGTCTATGTGCAGAAACATACCTTCTTTCTATCTATGTTTGCAGGAACTGACCTCTTCCTCTATCTCTGTGTGCAGAAACTGACCTCCTTTCTATCTCTGTGCATTAACTGACCTCCTCTCTGTCTCTGTGCAGGAACTGACCTCCTCTCTATCTCTGTGTGCTGGAACTGATCTCTATCTCTGCACACTGGAACTGACCCTCTTTACCTGTATTCAGGTTCCTCTTACAGAACAGTGGTTCCGTCCAGCTTGAGTTCTCCTGGCAGGTCCAGATGGAAGGACAGAGCGGAGCCACAGAGAAAGGTAGGGGTCTTGTATTAAGCTGCTGGTGATGGGTGGTGCTGATATGCTGTCTATGATCACATGACCATTAGACTACATGTACACTGGAATGTTTATTCTACCGGCAGAAGAAAAACACTAAACGCGTCAAAAACACATGTAAACACGGTATCGCATTTACCCGCGTTTAGCGCTTGGATGTTTATTAATTTCATTAGCCAAAGTACTTGCTAGTGAAATGAATAAACGTTCAAGCACTAAATGCAGTTAGCGCATAGGTGCATTTACACACGTTTTTTGCCACATTTGGCTGTTTTTGGCCAAAATGTTCCTCTCTTCAACACGATTCTTCTGTGTTCAGGAGAGGGAACTTTTAACTGCCCCAAACTCTGCTGCTGCTAAACTCTGACAAAAACCTATGTGTGCACAGACACATAGGCCTTTATTGAGTTGAGTTCAGGGACTTTGGCAAAAACTAACGCCACCATAGGTGTGCACAAGGCCTTATAGAGCTTACACTGCTGAAGATTTGTACCTCTAAAGATGATGTTGTTGGTGGAGCTGCAGTGACTGAATTAATTTGGCTATGTGACCACCAACATAATGACCTGACTAAACAAACTATAAAAGTGCTGTGAGGGAATTGCTGATAATCAAGATGTCTGCTCACACTTGTCAGTCCCTGGATTTAGATCTGATATATTGGAGATACAAAAGGAGAGATGGAGGCTGCAGGAGGTTATGTCTTGTGTAGAGACAACAGTGGGCAGCAGTGAACTTTTCTATAACCAGATAACATGCAGTGTGTTCATTCTATACTTACACCTCAGTCATAGAATTTAACTAATTTCCATTACCTGCAATATAGAAAAGGCAAATAAAAAAATACATTTTCCATTGGGCTCCTCTATACTCCCTATCCACTGCTGGGATTATACTGACACAGACAGATAAACCCATATTGAACTGATCCCACTGCAGCATCTGTCGATCTTCATTTATCACTGAAATAAGAACTGTCTGTATTCCCAACATCAACCAGATACAAACCTCCCTGTATTATTCTACAGAACTACAATTTTACAGAATCTGGACTGAGACATTGCTGTGAGACAACACAGACTGTTTCTTATTTTAGACACCTTGATAAATCAGGCCCATTCAATGTATGCCACACACAAATTACTGTAGATGGTCATATTCCTGTATGTATTTTTGGCTGTGAGAAAACACAGACAGTTCATGTTTCAGATACTTTGATAAATGAGGCCCATTAATTGTATACCACACACACATTGCAGTGTTTGGTCACAGTCCTGTGCGTATTGTTGGCAGATTCCCAGGGCAGTTCGCGCAGCTCCTCCATTCACAGCCGTCCTTCCAGCGTCTTGGAGAGTGTGACGTCTCTGCTGTCAATGGGAGCAGATTCATCCCCGTTCTCCATTCAGCCAAGCGCTGGCACCATACCAGCCGGGCGCAGCCAGGAGTTTCTCATTAAGTTCTCTCCAGTGGAAGTCGGTGATTTTGAGGGTCTCCTGAACTGCAGGTGAGGTGGTGGTCTGTGGGACTGTTATAAATACATATGATGTAATAAATAAGTGAAATGAACTTCTGCGCCTGCTGAGTGATATATAAAGTAACTGCTACTGTGAATGCTGTTGATATAATCAATTGTGTTCCCACAATGTAATTAAAGAAAATAAAATAAAAAATTATATAGCGCTAATTACAAAATATTGAATAAACATCAATCCATCATAGTTGAACAAAGTGAATACAAAGTGCTCATAATGTCTAAATAAATTATAGTAAATAAATAGAAATATCATCCATTACTACACAATCAAAGTGAACCGATATCACAGTGCTCAGAAAAAATGTGTGTAAAGTTCATATGATTCCAAATGTGACGTAATCCAACACCATGAAATGAGAATCCGTGCTTAATGTGAATTCCACTTCTGTGCTCTCAGAACTCTCACCTCCAACGCATGTAAAACTGAATGTTTAAAGCGGAGTTCCACTCACTCTGTAAAGAAATAAAAGTCAGCAGCTACAAAAACTGTAGCTGCTGTCTTTTAAAAAACAGCCACTTACCTGTCCCATGATCCTGCATTGCCCCCACCGCAGCTTGTTTCACCAGCCGTCCTGTATTCTAGGCGCCGGCATCTTCAGTGTGGGCACCCGGCTGTGACAGCTTGTGGCTTCTCAGCTGAGTGCCCACTGCACATTCGCGAGTAGCGCTGCTCTTCCTGAATGGTCCCATCGTCTTCTGAGACCTGTCATGTGTCCCACAAGACTTCGGGGAGGGAGAGTAGGAGAACAACTTCCGTTTCCAATCGCCTAGGGGATCGCAGTGGAAGTGGGAGCGGGTACCTGTCAAATTTGGGCACTGCCCCCCCCTGTCATGATCGCACGGTCGCTGCCACCAACATGCGACAATCGCACGACCCCGACTAACAGTAATACGTCTCGCCCGTGGCGTCAGACCCCAGACCTTCTCACCAAACTTGTGATTGAAGGACCGGCCGATCGAAAACCGCGGTGTGACGCACGTAACAAGGCCATACCCAGCTGCGATTGTTCAGCTAATGGGCCACAATCGGTGCTTGCAGCCTGAATGCGCTTGTTACTGGGTTGGGTTAATTACGCAACTAACCCTCTACTGCCACCACCACTTTTGTCGGAGACTGGGAATCTCCCGTTATCAAATATACACTATAATGATTGAAAAGTCACCTGTCCAATACGGTCACCGCAGGCCGATTGGGCAGAGGATTAAACAAACAGAGTAGCGTCTCTTCAAAGGCAGGAATTCGTGAATTGCAAGTAAGCGCTTAGAAACAGTTTAACACTTTCAGAAAGAAAGATTTATTACTAAAAGAGTCAAACAGGTGCAATAAAATATTTACAAAGAGATGTCACGAAAAATATATAATATATATATATATATATATATATATACATATAAAGGTACAGCAAAGAGATAATAGGAAGGAAATTAAAGAATTAAAAGTTACTTGCCAATTTAAGCCTGGGTTTGCAGATCCAAGTTGCAGAGCAGGATGATTCCTTGATCTTCTTTTGTTACGATGTTACACTTGGGAGATGTGTGTTAAGCTACAATTTGCAGGCTTGCTAGCCTGTCTCTCTTTTTAAAAATCCCTTTGAAAGGGGGGTTGCTCTGACTACGCTGTTTTGGGAGGAGTCAGTGGGGAACTCTGAATTAAACTAACAGCTTCATACTCCATGATATGAAACATACAGATGATCTGAGAAATGTTCAATTACTGCTGGTCAGTTTTGTGATGGGTGAGAAAGGTTACACTTTCCCAGACTGCTGGCACCAACTAGGGATGCCTAACCTGTGGTTGACCCCCCCCCCCCCCCCATCTGTCAGGCGATAACGTTTGCCTCTCAGGAAGGGAGGGGGTAGGGAATGAAGGCTGAGGAATACTCCACTAAAAGAAAAGAAAAAGGGGAACTCCCGTGTCTAACTCTGATGAGCAAGTTTGCTACACCCCCCACCAATCTTTAGAGCGGAACTTCCCCTTTTGGGTGGAACTCCGCTTTAATGAGATATCTCCACAGTTGATCACTATCTCCTTTGGCCACTAGAGGCTATCCACTTCTTCTCCTATATGGTAGATGTTAAGGTAGGCTTAGGAATCCACCATTTCACTGAGTAACAGTAGCCTCACCCAAAAGAGAATACGCCTCATATAGTGTAGTAGATTTGTAAAAATTTCCAATATTTATTAAAATTGCACTTGCATTCAAATAAAAAAGATTTGCTTTACAGATAATAGATCACAGCTTATACTTCCTTTGTCTTCCTCCGTTTACCCCGGCACGTTGCGTCACCATCACGTGATTTCATCAGGGAGTGAGGCTACTGTTACTCAGTGAAACCGTGGATTCCTAAGGCTACCTTAACATCTACCATATGGGAGGAGGAGTGGATAGCCGCTAGTAGCTAAAGGAAATAGTGATCAACTGTGGAGATGTCTCATTAAACACGCAGTTTTACATGCGTTGGAGGTGGGAGTTCTGAGACCACAGAAGTAGCACCAGTTAATGCATGGAATTCACATTAATCACAGATTCTCATTTTATGGTGTTGGATTACGTTACATTTGGAATCATATGAGCTTTACACACAATTTTTGGAGCACTTTGATATCAGTTCACTTTGATTGTGTAGTAATGGATGATATTTATATTAATTTATTTAGAAATTATGAGCACTTTGTATTCACTTTGGTTGTTCAACGATGATGGATTGGTGTTTATTTAATATTTTGTAAGCAGCGCTACATCATTTTTTATTCTATTTTATATATGATTAAATGATTGACCCAGGATGATGTCGCTTCTTCCTATTTTCCAGCATCCCTAACCTTCTCCCTGGGCAGCCGGAACCACATATACCAGTCAGAGGCCATAGCCTGCGGCCATACTGCCATTTCCAGCTGGAGGACTCAGATTATATCAGCAGTGGAAGACGCAACCCAGAGCTATGTGGACCCCGTGGAGCCCCTTCAGGGACCACTTTGGATCCAAACACCCGGGTCGTGGAATTCACCTCGGTGGGGGTCAGGACCAGAAATGTCAGGTAAGCAGGAACACCAAGAAGCCACAGTGGTCAATGTAATGTATTTGTAAAAAATTGACATTTTGTTTTATTGTATTTTATAAGGAGCTTCAGTATTGTAAATCCCACCAACAATCCTTACTCCTTCCTGTGGACATGTGAGGATCCCCCAACTATCCAGCACCCTCCAACCTTCCACTGTCTAAATGAGCAGGGGCTGATCCAGCCAGAGAAGAAGGTTGAGGTAGGTGCTATAGTGAGGAATAGGCGTTATGGCACCATCATATTGGGGAATGGGGGAGGGGGTGTGATGGCACCAGTGTATTAGGAGAAGGGGGTAGGGGGCATAGTACCAGTGCCCCATGGGAGGAGGTAGGTGTCATGTCACTAATGCTTCAAGGAAGGGGGTAGATGTCACGGTGCCAGTTTATCAGGGAAGGGGGTGGATGGACAAGAAAGGTATCCTATTTATCTCATTCTTGACAAATTTTGTTTTCTGTGAGCCTTCAGCTCTTTAAAAGTTTTATTAACTTTAAATTTTAAAATAATGCAGAATTCCACAAATCAACAGATGTTGGTGGTCATACACATGGGCAGAGGGGTCCAGGCAGATTTCAGCCCTCCTTCTGCTACTTGATACCACCATCCCATAACATTTGATTTGCTTTGTCTTTAGATCACATTTGAGTTTGTCCCTCAACTCCTGGACATCAGTGAGTCCTTCTGGTCCTTCACAATCCCTGAGCAGAACATCTCTGTCCCATTCCTACTTGTTGGAAAAGCTGTAGAGCCTTCTGTGTCCCTGGACCGGTCCCACCTCAACTTCCGCTGTCTGTTGATTGGTAGGTGACCTCCCATTATCCCAGCCAACCATCATGGAGTTTTCTTTGTCCTGTACCGGGTGTCATTCATTATGTTCCATGCATAGAGAGGAAAAATTGAAGGAATTGTATTCCTTGATGAGCCTTGTATTTCCAATGTGGTCCCCAAGCAGCAAACAGTCATACACATGCAGGAGGATAAAAATGAGGACCTGTGTGTGGGATCATTAAAGCTGGGCAGGTCATAGCCAGGAAGAGGAGCTCCAACCCCAGTGATGTCATTGTAGATCCTCATTGTCTTTTTCTGAATTTTCTGTGAAAAAAATCAAATTTGATAAGAATCCGTGTGTGTTCCTCATTGGTGTTTAATGTTTCCACTCATTATTGATTATTTTTTTTTCCCTCTCTAATTATGTTCTCACTGTGGACAGGTCAGGAAGTCCAGGAATCCATCTACCTTATTAATAATGAGAAGAAGACACTCAGCTTCTGCTTTCGGGAACATTCTTGTTTCTCAGAGGGTCACAGCCAGAGTCTATCAGTGAGACCACTGGAAGGAGTCGTCCCTCCATTGAGCAGGTAAAGATAGTATCTGTGTGTTCTGATTCCTGGTGACAGTCCAATCCCATCAGGGGAGTGCCGGTACTCTGCAGTCACAGCATGTCCCATGTCTACCACCTAATGTCACCTGTACTGACAAACACACACAGATCCTCATAATTCCAGAGCCAGGTGTAATATTCCAATATATGTAATAGATGACAGCAGATATAGTCAATAAAGAGCCCTCTGTGCAGATGAGGGACCTATTATTGTCATTCGTCTTATCATAGCTCCTCTTTTGGGCACCCACATATATACTGCAGTATGCTGTGCCTCTCTGTGCCCACCTCACCACTCACTCTGGCTGTGCCCTTCCTAAAAAGAAAAAGCCCCTGAATTCTGAATATCTGTCCCCCCTCATTATGGACCCCATGCTGCTACCCAGGCAGTACATCTGCACCCAATACCTAACATGAATCTGACACGTGTGTCCACCTCCCCTCCAGTGACAGGGCAAGGTTCTTTAGCACCCAAGGTGAAAAGACCGAAGTAGCCCTCCCCTGAGATGTGAACTACTTCAGCAACTTAATTTGCAGGTCCTGTCCTTTTTGTACCCCCCAATCCTCTCTCTGTGTTGTCAGGCTTCCCATCTGCATTCAGTTCCAGCCATCACAAATGGGAGAGGTCAACTTCAACTTAATCTGTGACATCAAGACCAAGACTGAGCCGCTATATCTAAATGTGAAGGCTGACAGTCACACAACAGAAGTCTGCATACAGTGCCAGGACAACACCGGGACAGTCACAACCCTGTCTACACAGGTGCCCAATGAGATTGACCTGGGACAGGTGAGGACCTGGTTTATGGCAAAACATAGGGGGATGTATTTTTCAGGGGTGTTGAAAGAGACCTTAAGACCTTAGTGCTATCCTCCCAGATGTGCTCCTGACACCAATTATGTTTGTCTGATCGATAGGTGGATATTAATGACAGTTCCACTCTTCAGTTCCACATCATTAATAATGGAAGGTTCCCTCTAACTTCTGCTGCACGCTGTCCACACCACGAGCACTGCAGGAGTACCTGAGCCTGACTGCAAGCAGTGGGTGTGTGCCACCTGGAGGACAAGCCCAGACCTCCTTAACCTTCTATCCCACCAAGAGATGCATGGTCAAAGACACCCAGCTGGCTATCCAGGTATGAGCCATGTATGTTCTACATAGAGCTTCACTGTCAGTCACATAGCAGTCAGTTCTGCCCTGTGGCTTGAACAAATACAGATTGTTGAATCTTTTTTTCATTACTTTATAAACAACAACAGTTAGGGACAGTACAAAAGGCAAACATGATTGACATTCAAAAGTATTTAACAAATTATTTAGACTAGTGCTCTGCAATAAACATTTTGAGACCAGCGAAGGTGATAAGATGGTGGGAATGTGCATGATGCGTCAGGCCAGGCCCGGCATCATGGTCCCTAGTGGGAATTCAGCTGGCTCAGTTTATGGTATATTGACCATCATTGAAAGTCTGTGTAAAGAAATTTTGGGGCCCTTCAGAGTCAGGGGAATGTAAGGGACTTAAATACCAGCATGTCCATAAAGGGGACCCGGGGCTCCACATTGCACTGTATGGGTCTTGAGTATCTTGGAGGTAGACCATTAGGTTTTCTATTCTCATATCTGTGTTTAGTATGGAGTGCCATCACATGACACACAAGGCCATTACATGACACACTGACTGTGGTTCTGGCAGTGCACATGCAGACACACATCATTCACTATAAAATGTGTATTGTGCTATCTTACAGATAGAGAATGGACCGGAGCTGATGTGTCAGATTCAAGGAGGTGCAGTGCGTCCCGGGATTCACTTCTCCTTCACAGAATGTAACTTCGGACATTGCTTCATCTTCCATGATGGGATGAGACCTGTGAGGAAATCACTCTTCATTGTGAACAAGGATGAGCGAGATGTCAGGTGAGCTGAAATGCCCCAAAAACAAATCCTCTGAGTGGCACGACACCAAATTTACTGACTACCAAAATGACAACGAATCCATTGACTGCCACAGTGACACAGAACCTGCCGACTGTCACAATTAATCCTCCAATCATTCTGACTGCGCCACAATGACACGGAATTCACTGAACTGCACATTGACACCAAATCCACTTACCGCAACAATGACAACAAATCCACTGACTGCCACAATGACACAGAATTCTTCGACCACTCCGACCGTGCCACAATGACACATATTCACTGAACTCCACATTGACAACAAATCCATTGACTGCTACAATGACAACAAATCCACTGACTGCCACAATGACAACAAATCCACTGGCTGCCACAATGACAACAAATCCACTGATAGCCACAATGGCAATAAATCCACTGACAGCCACAATGACAACAAATCCACACTCTGCCACAATGACAACAAATCCACTGGCTGCCACAATGGCAACAAATCCACTGGCTGCCACAATGGCAACAAATCCACTGACTGCCACAATGACACAGAATTCTTCGACCACTCCGACCGTGCCACAATGACACATAATTCACTGAAAACCACATTGACAACAAACCTGCTGACTGCTACAATGACAACAAAACCCCTGACTGCCACAATGACAACAAATCCACTGACTGCCATAATGGCACAGAATTCTTCAACCACTCCGACCGTGCCACAATGACACATAATTAACTGAAAACCACATTGATAACAAATCCACTGACTGCTACAATGACAACAAATCCACTGACTGCCACAATGAAAACAAATCCACTGGCTGCCACAATGACACAGAATTCTTTGACCACTCCGACCGTGCCACAATGACACATAATTCACTGAAAACCACATTGACAACAAATCTACTGACTGCTACAATGACAACAAAACCCCTGACTGCCACAATGACAACAAATCCACTGACTGCCACAATGGCACTGTATCCACCAACTACCACAATGACACAGAACCCTCCAACCACTCCAACCGTGCCCCAATGGCACGGAATTCACTGAACTCCATGCTGACACCAAATTCACTAACTGCAACAATGACACCAAATTCACTGACTACCACATTGGCAACGAATCCACTGGCTGCCACAGTAACACAGAATCTTCTGACCACTCCAACTGTGCCACAATGACACGGAATTCACTGAACTCCACATTGACACCAAATTCATTGACTTCCACAATGACGACAAATCCACCAACTGCCAAAATTACAACAAATTCACTGACTGCCACGATGAAAACAGATCCATTGACTGCCACAATGACACTGAATCCACAAACCACCACAATGACACAGAATCCTCTAATTACTCAGTTACTATGTTCATGCCAAAAGAAAAAACCCTCAAAGCTCAGCTGCTTTATTAGAATATCTGCTGGTATTCTAGGATTGGACTTATAAGAAATACTGTATTACAGTGCTATTGTCCTCTTATATTAAAGTGCTATTCAAACTTATCAATCCATTATCTTGTGCAAATATTGTAAAAGATATAAAGTAAGCTATTTAATCTGTCCGTGACCACATATAAACCACACAATAAATACATAAATAATGTGTAAATAACCATTAAAAAGTGTAGATTAGTCCACAAAATATTACTTGGTGCTAAAATAAAAACTAATCAAAGTGATCAAATAGTGTTCAGTGCATCAGTCCACAGATCCAATGTATGTTCCACCTCTTTGTCATGTGATGCTATGTCTTTCTTCCTTGGCAGCATCGACTGTTTGTACAGTAACACGGCCCACATGGTGGTTGAGTTCTCCTCAGATGTGCTCCCCCCTGGAGGCAGGATGGAAGTCCCCATCACCTTCTATCCTCGGGCAGCCATCTTATACAAGGAGACGGTTGTGTTTCAGATGAATGGTCACTCCAGACAAGACCTTCGGCTCCAGGGCCACGGGATTGAAATGAAGGTATGGATTCTATGTGTACCACACTGATGAGGCCTGCAAATCCTCTATCAAACTTCTTGGATGATGAGCAAATGTTTGTGTTTCTCACAGGTTGAAATTGCAGATCCCAAACATAAAGTGACCAACTTTGGTGCAGTCAGCATTGGTCAGACTGTGAAGAAGAATGTCAATGTAGTGAATAGGAGTGCAGCCCCAGTGACCTGTAGCCTAAGTCTGACTGCCAGCATCCCTGCAGTGCAGGATCCCAAGGTACAGTATGTCATACAATGCCACACACCCACAGGTCACGTAATACCTCCAGAGCCATACACTGATAATAAACATCTATGATAGGGTACACGTATAATACTGTCACAGCCATGCATTGATAGTACACAGCTATTATAGGGTACACATATAATACTGCCACATCCATACATTGATGGCACACGTATAATACTGCCACATCCATACATTGATGGCACACATATAATACTGCCACATCCATACATTGATGGCACACGTATAATACTGCCACATCCATACATTGATGGCACATGTATATTACTGCCACATCCATACATTGATGGCACACGTATAATACTGCCACATCCATACATTGATGGCACACGTATAATACTGCCACATCCATACATTGATGGCACACGTATAATACTGCCACATCCATACATTGATGGCACATGTATAATACTGCCACATCCATACATTGATGGCACATGTATAATACTGCCACATCCATACATTGATGGCACACGTATAATACTGCCACATCCATACATTGATGGCACACGTATAATACTGCCACATCCATACATTGATGGCACACGTATAATACTGCCACAGCCATACAGTACAGAGGGATGTTGTGCCCACTATACATTGAACATGGGGACACATCATAGTACACTGCAGTCATCCTCCAGCTGAATACAGACTGTGTATGTATACAGACTGTCTATACTGTATATGTCATCCTCTGCAGGTCCTCAGCTTGTCCCCAGCTCAGTGGTAACAATTCCTGCCCATGGTGGGGTGTGTAAGCTGGAGTTGCAGTTCTCCCCACGCAGTCGCATTGCTCCATTTGCAGAGGAGGTGGTAATGGAGTGTGATGGTGCAGTGCGTTCCCTCCTGGTGGTACGTGGCAGCAGCCAGGGCCTGGAGCTCAGCCTGGACCAGGAATACATCACATTTGGAGCTGTGGTACTGAAGAGCCAAGCCACTCGCCGGATCGTCCTAAGCAACAGTGGAGAGCTGGGAGCCAGGTACTGTGCAGACTACTATTATAGGAAGCATACTTGTCACAAGACACATCCACCTCACTGTCTTATCTATTCTCAGGTTTCAGTGGGACATTAAGAAGTTCCAGCCAGAGTTTTCAATCTCTCCGGTATCTGGGTACATCACGGCAGGTAGTGAGGTCACCTTCGATGTCACTTTTCACCCCCGAGAGACCCGCACGGATATTCACTATGAGAACCTGCCCTGCCTCATTGAAGGGAACAAGACACTAACTCTTACTCTGTTTGGATCCTGTGTGGAGTTGCAATCCACCAAGGAGGTAGGTGATGCCTACCTACCTCACCCAGTGTGTTCTGTTCTATGATTGCACAGGTCATAGGTTACCTTAGTTCTTGGTGCCTACAGCACTGGAGTGTGGGGTTTCCTCCAGTTATAGTATAGTGTGTTACTCTGATGGGACACTACTGTGTAAGCTCCTCTGGTGCAGAGACTAATGTGATTGTGTTGTACAGCAAACTAAATATATAATATTTTTCCTTGGAGCTGCTGTGTTTGGTTTAGTTTAGTTTCGTTGGGTTAGTTTTGTGATAGTTCTAATGTAGATCATTGTTATCTGTAACATGTGAATGTTTTGCTAAATGTCTCAGTGGGTCAGCCCAGCTCTCAAGCCCCCTCTGTCTCTGACCTCCAAACCTCAACTTTCTACAGGTAGTGAACTTTCAATGCCAAGTACGAAGTACACAGACTCAAACCATCCATCTGTCCAACAAGACCAACGAGATATGGAACCTGCATCCCATCATTGATGGCGAACACTGGAGGGGTCCCGAGGTTATTACAGTGGAGCCCACCAGCAGAGCAAACCCTATGAGGTCACCTACCACCCACTGGTCATGAGCCATGAGGGGAAGAAGCACCAGGTGAAGACTTGGAGAACAGTGCAGCTCTATTACAGCAGTGTGTCTGGTTGATGTGGGCAGCAGCTCCATGATTAGTTCTATAGCCTCTTTCAGACTGATGTGCTCAGTTTGTTTTCTTCTCAAACTTTCAGGGCTCCATCTTTTTCCCACTGTCTGATGGAAGGGGGTTAATGTATGTTCTGCATGGAATAGCTGATCCACCAAGATCTTCTGGAACAATTGTCAGAGAAGTGCCGTGCAAGACATCCTACACTGAACTGCTGACTGTCAGCAACTGGCTGCGCAAAGCCCAAAGGTGAAAAGCCAGATAATTAGTTACATAACTGCTTTCCACAGCCAGGCCTGCAAAGTTTCCAGTGCCCTAGGGAATCATAGTATTCTCCATAGCTAGGCCTATATAGACATCAGTGTCCTGAGGGATCACCGTATTCTACATAGCCAAGTTTATAGAGACCTCAGTGCCCTGGGAAATCAAATCTTCACAGCCAGATGTGTATAGTCCTCAGTGCCCGTATAGCCAGTATAGATCTCATTGTCCTGGGGCCTTATAGTACTCTCCGTGGCCAGGCCTATATAGACCTCAGTGTCCTGAGGGATCAGAGTATTCTCCATTGCCAGGCCTATAGAGAACTCAGTGTCCGGGGGAATCATAGTGCTTTTCAAAGCCAAGCCCGTATTTTCCTCAGTGTCTTGGAGGATCATAGTACTCTTCACAGCCAGGCCTGTGTAGACCTCAGTGGCCGGGGACAGGGCTGCTGTTTGAAATCACAGGGCCCCATATGGCCTACCTGACAGGCCCCCCTTGAAATATCCAACCATAAATTTGTTAATAAAACAATAAAATCATAATTAGCGGATTAACACAACACAACTTACAAAATTCCTGTTAAATCTAAATGATAAAACCAAAAATAATGTTAGAAATAATGTGAAACAGATCTTAAGGCTCATTCATGTGGGCTCTGCGGCCTGTAAAGTGTGAATCAGTTTGTTTATGTGGCTGGCTATGTATCCCAACAGCTGCAGGTCCTAACTTGACTGGCGTGTAGGTACAGGTATATAGCCCCGTAAACAGACAATGTGCATTCGGGGCCACTCACCTACAGCTGCACAACTGTCAAATTAGGACCTGCGGCTGTGTTTTTACAGCTGCTGTGTCCCCATAGAATAACAGACGGCTCCAGCTGCACAATCAAAATGCTCATTCATGCTGTATGGGCCAGAGAACCTGTGTGAATGAGCCTTTCTTTTTTTTAAATTATATATTACAATTTCTAATTAATTTGTTTTGCAAATTTTTTACAGTTGTATTCTTTTTTTTCACAACCCTGTTGGGGGGGCTTTAGTAAAATATATGGGGTCTAAACAGACCCCAGTGTCTTACTTTTGAGACAGAGAAAAGAATTGAGGAAGTAGATCCCCAATCCTTTCTCTGCTGCCTCATCTGCAGATTAATGAACAGGAAACACTCTGTACAGAGGCTTCCTGTTCATTCACAAACTGAAAGTCAGTTCAGTTTACTTAATACAGTGAGTGATTGGTACTGATCACTCACTGTGTTCATTCAGAAAAAGGGACCAATATATTTGACATATTTTCTGGCCCCTCTCCTGCTCTTTACTCCTGACATGACCTCCCTATGTGCCCGCAGAAGCCGGCAAGAGGGAGAGGTGGATATACCAGGTCTTCATAGACCCCTGGGGGAGCATTTTACTTTCCATAACCTTGGCAATTTAGACCTCACAGTGTCCTGAGAGGTCATAGTACTCTTCATAGCCAGGACTATGTAGGACTCGCAGTGTCCCGGGTGATCATAGCTCTACACAGCCAAAACTTTATAGGCCTTACAGTGTGCATGTGATCATAGTGCTCTCCATAGCTTAACACACAGCTCAGAAAATATCATCCTGTTCCAGTTTCCTGTCCTTGCTCATGATTTTGACATCCTCAGGTTTCGTGTCCTTATTGAAATGGTGAAGCCAGATCGTCTTGATGCTGCCACCACCATTAAAGGTCTGGATTACCTGGAAGTGCCAGGCTCTGCCAAGAGGGACTACAAGCTGAATTTTCACTCTCATAAGGAAGGCACCTTCACTGCTAAGGTGAGTGACATGTAGACATAGGAGCCTCAAAGTCCACCAAGATTCTAACCTAATTTGAAAGGTACCTGGACAGGATAATTAGAGCGGTGTGTAGATTAGATGGGTGCTGTGATTTGGGCTGTGAGGAGTCACAGGCTGGAAAAAGTGATAGTAGAGTGTAGATGGATGGAAGGTCTCCTAGACTTCAGAGACCAAAAGCTGAGAAACAAAAGCTGTGCTGCAGGCATTGATCCCCAACTAAGAGGAGTCCATGGATGAAAAAATGCTTCACATTAAACCCTCTTATACTTATTCACAGATACCAAGTGATACGATGCCAGCCATGTCTACGTAGCCATCAGCGGTGAAGACCACTAACAGCTTGTTCTGTCATATTTACCGGTAGATAATAATATTTGGAAAAAGACTATTGAGTATTTAAATTTTCTATCTCTTGGCTTCAGGTGATTTTCCGGAATGAGACAACCCAGGAATACCTCTTCTACAATGTCACTTTCAAATCAACGCCGCCCGGTGTCATCAGTACCATAGAGTTAGTGACTCCGGTGCGCCAAAGCACTGCAGCCACTATAACAGTAGAGAATCCACTATCTATGCCAGTAACTTTCAGCACTGATTGCAAAGTGCCGGAAATTAATCTCCCTCCGCAGATCACTGTGCCTGCTCAATCTGAGGTAAGGTTGCTGTATAATCCATCTCTCCCTTTCACAAAATAACAGTGTGAAATAACTCGTTTCTTCCATCTTCACCGACCCCTCTCTATATAGACCTCAGTGTCCTGGGGAATCATAGTATTCTTCATAGCCAGGCCCATATAGTAGTCAGTGTCCTGGGGAGTCATAGTTTTTTTCATAGCTAGACCTTTATAGACTTCAGTGCCCTCTGGGATCATAGTCCATAGAGCCATAGACAAGACTATATAGAGTAGATGTCCCAGATGATCACAGTATTCTTCATAGTCAGGCCTATATCTATAAACCTCATTGTCCTGGGGGATCATAGTACTCTACGTAGTCTTACCTTTATAGACCACAGTGTCCTGGGGCATCATAGTGCTCTGGACTCTTAGACCTGAGATAACTCGCTTCATCCAACTTCACCCCCCCCCCCAATTATTGTCTTTGGTGTCCTGTGGTATCAAAGTATTGTCCATAGCTAGGCCTATATATAGACCTCATTACCCTGGGGGATCATAGTGTTCTCCAAATTCAGGCCCACTCAGTCCTCAGTATCCTGGGGCATTATAATGCTCTTCATAAGCATACATATACAGTGGGGATCGAAAGTTTGGGCACCCCAGCTAAAAATTTGTATTAATGTGCATAAAGAAGCCAAGGAAAGATGGAAAAATCTCCAAAAGGCATCAAATTACAGATTAGACATTCTTATAATATGTCAACAAAAGTTAGATTTTATTTCCATCATTTACACTTTCAAAATAACAGAAAACAAAAAAATGGCGTCTGCAAAAGTTTGGGCACCCTGCAAAATTTATAGCATGCACTGCCCCCTTTGCCAAGCTGAGACCTGCCAGTGTCATGGATTGTTCTCAATCATTGTCTGGGAAGACCAGGTGATGTCAATCTCAAAGGTTTTAAATGCCCAGACTCATCTGACCTTGCCCCAACAATCAGCACCATGGGTTCTTCTAAGCAGTTGTCTAGAAAACTGAAACTGAAAATAGTTGACGCTCACAAAGCTGGAGAAGGCTATAAGAAGATAGCAAAGCGTTTTCAGATGTCAATATCCTCTTACATCCTTCGGAATGTAATTAAGAAATGGCAGTCATCAGGAACAGTGGAAGTTAAAGCAAGATCTGGAAGACCAAGAAAAATATCAGACAGAACAGCTCGCAGGAATGTGAGAAAAACAATTCAAAACCCACGTTTGACTGCACGATCCCTCCAGAAAGATCTGGCAGACACTGGAGTTGTGGTACACTATTCCACTATAAAGAGATACTTGTACAAATATGGTCTTCATGGAAGAGTCATCAGAAGAAAACCTCTTCTACGTCCTCACCACAAAAATCATCGTTTGAACTTTGCAAATGAACATATAGACAAGCCTGATGCATTTTGGAAACAAGTTCTGTAGACCGATGAGGTTAAAATTGAACTTTTTGGCCAGAATGAGCAAAGGTACGTTTGGAGAAGAAGGGGCACAGAATTTAATGAAAAGAACCTCTGTCCAACTGTTAAGCATGGGGTTGGATCAATCATGCTTTGGGGTTGTGTTGCAGCCAGTGGCACAGGGAACATCTCACGAGTAGAAGGAAAAATGGATTCAATAAAATTTCAGCAAATTTTAGATGGTAACTTGATGCCATCTGTGAAAAAGCTGAAGTTAAAGAGAGGATGGCTTCTACAAATGGATAATGATCCTAAACACGCCTCGAAATCCACGGGGGATTACATCAAGAGGCGTAAACTGAAGGTTTTGCCATGGCCTTCACAATCTCCTGACCTCAACATAATTGAAAATCTATGGATACACCTTAAAAGAGCAGTGCGTGACAGACAGCCCAGAAATCTCAAAGAACTGGAAGACTTTTGTAAGGAAGAATGGGCAAAGATACCTCAAACAAGAATTGAAAAACTCTTGGCTGGCTACAAAAAGCGTTTACAAGCTGTGATACTTGCCAAAGGGGGCAGTACAAGATATTAACTCTGCAGGGTGCCCAAACTTTTGCAGACGCCATTTTTTTGTTTTCTGTTATTTTGAAAGTGTAAATGATGGAAATAAAATCTAACTTTTGTTGACATATTATAAGAATGTCTAATCTGTAATTTGATGCCTTTTGGAGATTTTTCCATCTTTCCTTGGCTTCTTTATGCACATTAATACAAATTTTTAGCTAGGGTGCCCAAACTTTCGATCCCCACTGTATAACCCTCAGTATCTTGGATCATAGTACTCTTCATAGACAGGACTGTGACAGACCGCCTGGCACCCCGCCTGGGTGCTTCCGTCCGAGAACTGCTTCCTCTCCGCTGGGACACAGGAACAAGGTATAACAGCTGAGAATTGCACCAAAGAACTAGATGACACTAGCTTAGGTGCAAACAGAAACTCTTTTATTGAACAGAGATACAGGTTTTTATACTCTCCAGAAATAGGGGCAGTCCCCGCATGAGCAATAAAAACAAATATTACATATTGGGATAAACATCCAGCAATGATTAGGTAACAAGGTAAAGTTGACACAAGGCTAACTCCATCATGTAGGAACCTACAGGAGGATTAGCCAACAGACTGAAACAATAGGTGACTCAATTAACATTGGGAGAAAGACACAACAGTAAACACATCACACTTTAAAAAACAGATTACAGCATGAGACCTCAACATCAGGTTGTTTTGAGATGATTATATTAACATCTGCTCTGAGTCTGACTCTAGGAGGGGGGGTTTGAAGCAGTCTATGCTGGCTTGGGCACAGAGACCCCAAATCTGTATCCAAGTCCTCCAGTTCTCAGAGTCTGTGTGTTTTGGGGAGACATGGACTTAAATCTGAAGTAAAACTACTCCAAAGGTTCCCCCAGGCACACACCTCCCATAGAATAGAGCCCCTCAGATGCCAGGGCCCATGGTCTGTAGGCAAGAGGCTAGCCTGCAGTCCTCTCCAAAAGCCCCTGTCCCAGTTGGGTCTTTCAGAAGGACTATATAGACCTCATTTCCTGAGGAATAATTGTACTCATTATAACCAAGTCTAGATAGACCTCATTGTCCTGGTGGATTATAGTACTCTCCATAGCCAGGCCTAAATAAACCTCAGTATCCTGGGAAATCATAGTTCTCTTCACAACCAGGATCCTGTAGTCCTCAGTGTTCTGGAGGATCATATTATTCCCCACAGCCTGGCAGATATATATCATAGGGATTATAGCCAGGCCTATATAGTCCTCAGTCATATGATCATATGATCTTGCCATAGCCAAGCCTATGTAGACCTCAGTGTCCTGGGAGATGATCGTGCTCGTCATAGTCAGACCTATATAGACCTCTGTGCCCCTGAGGGATTATAGTACTCTTCATAGCCAGGATTATGTAACCCTCCATTTCCTTGGGGGATCATAGTACTCTCCATATACATGATTATACAGTGTAGACCTCATTGCCTGAGGAATCATAATATTCTTCAAAGCCACGTATATATAGTCCTCAGTGTCCTGGAGGGTCATAGTACTCTTCATAGCCAGGCCTATATAATCCTCTGCATCCCAGGGGATCATAATACTCTGGATAGACAGGACTATATACTGAGCAACCATAATATTATGACCACCCACCTAATATTGAGTTGGTCCATATTTTGTCACCAAAGAGCCCTAACTTTTTCAGGCATGGACTTCACTCAACCTCTGAAGGTATGCTGTGGTATCTGGTACGAAACCATCAGTAGCAGATTCTTTAAAGGATAATTTCACCCTTGGGAACATGTTCCCTGTTTGGATGTAGCGTGTAACATGTTCCCACTGCTGCAACCGCTACCTGTCCCGCTGCCTCTAGGGACAGCGAGCCAGGGATCTTCTCCCCAATACACGGCCCTCCTCCCCAGTATATTAAACAGATCATTTTTCCTCTTTGTAAGTTTTTCACTGTATTCTAGGGCACCTTGATGTTCGAGTACCAGCCCCTGAAGTCAGGCGAGAGTACCGGGCGGCTGACCCTACAGAGCTCGGACCTTGGTTTGTTTCAGTATGACCTTCTGCTGAAAGCTACACCAGCCGTGTCCGAGAAACCGCTTTACTTCCGGACGATGCTTGGCTCCAGCCAGACTTTGAGCGCCAAGTTCATCAATTACACCCGCCAGAAGACGGAGTACAGCTGCAAGGTGAGTGATGGGCCCAGACAGGTGACATCAGCCTACCGATAAAGATAACTATAGCTTTCCATTTTCAGGCTTGTCCTCCATAAATCAGCCCTGTATGCGATTATCTGGCTGACACCTCGCTGTATCCTCTCTATAGGTCGATAACACGGATTTCCATGTTGATAAGCTGGTTATGGCAGCTCCAGGCTCACAGGGTGGATCGGAGGTCAGCGTGGAGGTGACGTATGAGCCAATTCAGCTCGGAGAGTCACGCGCCATCTTGTTCATCTCTTCTCCACTGGGAGGCGATTACACCATTCCACTTTTTGGCTCATCATTGGCCCCCAAGCCCCAGGGCCCCATCCAAGTTCGCTCTGGCTCCAACATCTCAATCCCTTTTAAAAACGTTTTCTTGCAGCCGACAACCTTCAGCTTCCAAACAGACCCTCCGGCTTTCGCTGTCAAACAGTGCGAGGCAGTACGCCCCAAGAAGACCCACCAGATCACTGTGTCATATGAGGCCCCACCAGGAGGCAGCAAGGCCCCAGTGGCGGGAAGACTTGTGGTGTCATGTCCTCGTGCCACCGGCACCGCCCAGGGCATCTACTGGGTGTATTACCTGAAAGGTGTGGCTTCAGAAAAGTGATGCCATCTAAACCTAGAGCTGTAATATTCTTTTAATAAATGCTAAGATATATATTTATATAACAACAAGCTGTGTGTATTGTCATCTGCAACCATGTGTACAGTTTTCTATGGGTCCCCTCTGTGTATTGTGTATACTGTGTGTGTTGGCTTCATACATACTGTGTGCGGAGAGGGGGATTTGGAGTATTTTATAATCTGGGAAACAGACAGCACTCTGAGTGGGGGGTTAGGGTTGGAGGGTTCTGGTTGGAGTTAGAGTAATAGGGTTATAGTTAGGGTAAGAGGGTTATGGATAAAGGGATAGGGTTATAGATAGGGTTATAGAGCTAGAGGGATAGGGTTCTAGTTAGGGTTAGAGGGATAGAGTTCTAGTTAGGGTTAGAGGGATAGGGTTTAGTTAGGGTTAGAGGGATAGGGTTCTAGTTAGGGTTAGAGGGATAGGGTTCTAGTTAGGGTTAGAGGGATAGGGTTCTAGTTAGGGTTAGAGGGATAGGGTTCTAGTTAGAGTTAGGGTTCTAGTTAGGGTTAGAGGGATAGGGTTCTAGTTAGGGTTAGAGGGATAGGGTTCTAGTTAGGGTTAGAGGGATAGGGTTCTAGTTAGGGTTAGGGTTAGAGGGATAGGATAGGGTTCTAGTTAGGGTTAGAGGGATAGAGTTCTAGTTAGGGTTAGAGGGATAGGGGAGTTCTAGGGTTAGGGTTAGGGTTAGGGATAGGGGGTTGGAGGAATAGGGGTCAGAGGGTTATGGTTAAAGGGCTGGTGTTGGAGGAACAGAGTTAGAGGGTTTGGGTTGGAGCAATAGGGGTTAGATGTTTAGAGTTAAAGTGCTAGGGTTAGAAAGATAGAGCAATAAGTTAGGGTTACAGGGTGAGGTAGGGGTGTATTTACCACAAGGCAAACAAGGCATTGCCTAGGGCGGCATTTTTTAAGGGGGCAGCACTGCCCCCCCCCCCCCCCCGGAAGAAGGGATATATGTGGCATGGGGACCAGGTAGGACCTGAGAGAGGCTGTGGTCGGTTTGATGGCATATGCAGAGCCCGACTGTCCTTCCTGTGGATGTCCAAAGCTGTGAAGGTGAGTGTCTTTTCTCTCTGTTGCCGGGGGTTGGAGAAGGAGTGTTAGTGGAAGGCTCTCAGGTGGGGGGGGGGGGATGGGGCAGGGGGGTGTTGTTGGTCACTGTCAGGCTCTCTCTGCAGGGGGGGGGTGAAGAGTTTGAAGAATAGGGTTAGCATTATGGTTAGAGGATTAGAGTTAGCATTAAAGCGGAGCTCCACCCAAAAGGGGAAGTCCTGTTCATCCCTTCTCCACTGGGAGGCGATTACACCATTCCACGTTTTGGCTCATCATTGGCCCCCAAGCCTCAGGGCCCCATACAAGTTCGCTCCGACTCCAACATCTCAATCCCTTTTAAAAACGTTTTCTTGCAGCCGACAACCTTCAGCTTCCAAACAGACCCTCCAGCTTTCGTTGTCAAACAGTGCGAGGCAGTACTCCCCAAGAAGACCCACCAGATCACTGTTATGGTTAGAGGATTAGAGTTCGCATTAAAGCGGAGCTCCACCCAAAAGGGGACGTTCTGCTTTAAGGACTGGTCCCCCGCTCCCTGTTAAGGATTGGCACCTTTGGGGAGCAGGTACCTGAAATTGACAGGTACCCACTCCCACTTCTGCTGCTATTGCCTAGGCCTCCCCTCCCTCCCCGTAGTCTTCTGGGACACGTGACAGGTCCCAGAAGACTACCGGGCCATTCAGAAAGCCAGAGCTACTCGCGCATGCACAGTGAGCTCCGGGCTGTGAAGCTGCAAGCTGTCCCAGCCGGGTGCCCACACTGAGGATGCCGGCACCGAGAACACAGGATGGCTGGTCAAACCGGCTGCAGTGAGGACACCGCAGGATCGAGGGACAGGTAAGTGGCTGTTTTTTAAAAGTCAGCAGCCACAGTTTTTGTAGCTGCTGACTTTTTTCTTTTTTTACAGTTTGACTGGAACTCTGCTTTAGGGTTGGGGGAATAGGGTTAGAGGGGAAAATTCAGGATTAGAGTATTAGGTTAGAGTTATGGTCAGATGATGGAGTTAGAGAGTTAGGGATTGAGGAATGGAGTTATACGTAGTGCTAGAAGGTTAGGGTTGGAGGGGCAGGATTATTGTGGAAGGATTGGAGTTAGAGGGCGAGATTACATTTAGGGTTAGAGGGTCAAGATTAGAGAGTCAGGGTTAGTCAAAATTAGAGGGTCAGGGTTAGTCAGGATTAGAGGGCCAGGGTTAGTCAAGATTAGAGGGTCAGGATTAGGGAGGGTCGGGGTTAGAGGGTCAGGGGGTTAGAGGGTCGGGGTTAGAGGGCCGGGGTTAGAGGGGTAGAGGGGGTTAGAGAGGGTCAGGATTAGAGGGCCAGGATTAGAGGGTCAGGGTTAGTCAGGATTAGAGGGTCAGGGTTAGTCAGGATTAGAGGGCCAGGGTTAGTCAAGATTAGAGGGTCAGGATTAGAGGGTCAGGGTTAGAGAGTCAGGGTTAGTCAGGATTAGAGGGCCAGGATTAGAGGGCCAGGGTTAGAGGGTCTGGGTTAGAGGGCCAGGGTTAGAGGGTCAGGGTTAGTCAGGATTAGAGGGTCAGGCTTGGAGAGTCAGGGTTAGTCAGGGTTAGGGTTAGAGGGTCAGGGTTAGAGGGCCAGGATTAGAGGGCCAGGATTAGAGGGCCAGGATTAAGGGCCAGGATTAGAGGGTCAGGGTTAGTCAGGATTAGAGGGTCAGGGTTAGTCAGGATTAGAGGGTCAGGGTTAGTCAGGATTAGAGGGCCAGGGTTAGTCAAGATTAGAGGGTCAGGATTAGAGGGTCAGGGTTAGAGAGTCAGGGTTAGTCAGGATTAGAGGGCCAGGATTAGAGGGCCAGGGTTAGAGGGTCTGGGTTAGAGGGCCAGGGTTAGAGGGTCAGGGTTAGTCAGGATTAGAGGGTCAGGGTTAGAGGGTCAGGCTTGGAGAGTCAGGGTTAGTCAGGGTTAGAGGGTCAGGGTTAGAGGGCCAGGATTAGAGGGCCAGGATTAAGGGCCAGGATTAGAGGGCCAGGATTAGAGGGTCAGGATTAGGGTCAGGGTCAGGGGTAGGTTAGGGTCAGGGTTACTGGGTCAGGGTTAGAGGGTCAGGGTTAGTCAGGATTACAGGGTCAGGATTAGAGGGTCAGGATTAGAGGGCCAGGATTAGAGGGCCAGGATTAGAGGGTCAGGATTAGAGGGTCTGGGTTAGTCAGGATTACAGGGGCGGGGTTAGAGGGTCAGGGTTAGAAAAACAGGATTCAGGTTAGAGGATTAAGTTAACGTCAGGGTCAGAGGTTACGGAGGTATTAAACCCAACAGCAAACATTTATTATATTGCAATTTACAAATTCATATTTGTGGTGGCTGCATTAGTTTTCGTCTTTAGGCTCCATGCACAGTAGCCTGTTTTTTAAGCTCCTAGAAGCTGTTATCAACATTTTTTTCTGCACCTAGAAGCTTAATTGTGTTATCCTCTGTGTCCATGACACTGTTTTAGATTAGTAGCGTTTTTCAAGCTTCAGAGACAGGGTTATACTCCTGGAGTGGTAATCAGAGACACCTCCCGGTAATACTCCTGGAGGGGTACTTAGAGACCCCCCCCCCCCCGGTAATACTCCTGCAGGGGTAATCAGAGACCCCCTCCCCCCCCAGCGGTAATACTCCTGGAGGGGTACTTAGAGACCCCCCCGGTAATACTCCTGCAGGGGTAATCAGAGACCCCCCCCCCGTAATGCTCCTGGAGGGGTAATCAGAGACCCCCCCCCCAGTAATGCTCCTGGAAGGGTAATCAGAGACCCCCCCCCCGTAATGCTCCTGGAGGGGTAATCAGAGACTCCCCCGTAATACTCCTGGAAGGGTAATGAGAGACCCCGCCCTGGGTAATACTGCATTTTGAGGGGTAATAATAGACCGCGCCCCCCAGGGTTATAACCCATCTACTGTATGTGTGTGATAAGAAACCCCGCCCCCCTGTCAAGTTCTGCGTCTGGAGGGTTCTTGAGACCCCCGCCCCCCCGGGATAATATTCCGTCTGAGAGAGTAATAGCGGAGTCTCCATAGACTTCCCAATTAATTGTAACTCCACCTCCATCCTGTCCTACCCCGCCCCTCTGTCAGACTCCACTTTCCCGCCCATCTTCTCACAGACTGACGGGTCTCCGCCCACTGTAAAGACAGATCCGAGGAATGGGCGTGTCACAGGGGCGGAGGCGAGCCCCAGGATCGTTCAATCAGCCCGGAGGTGGGCGGGCACTGTGTTCTGGGCGGGGTCCGGTCAGATGATGGCCAAGGGGGAGAGAGGTGCACGTGACAGGCCCTCGGAGCCGGTGCGGATCACATGATTAGGCGAGGGGCGGGGCCGAGCAGTGGCGGCCGGTGAGGAAGATGAACGCGGAGCGGGATCTGTCACCCCTCACCCCCAACATCGTCCGGGCCCTGACCGACAAGATGTACGAGAAGAGGAAGGTGGCGGCTCTGGAGATCGAGAAGTGAGACAACCCCCTCCCTCTGGTCACATGACTGACCCACCCTGTGCATTGGCAGAGACACCCCCTCATACACCTGTCACATGGCTGATCGACACCCCCCATACACACACAATGTTCTGGGTATTTCAGACAGCACACAACCTCAGTGTATACAATGTCTGTCCCCTCCATGGTCCGTATTCCATTCATTCCGATATGGAGATGTCATCCCAGGAGGAATGTCACCTGTCATGGCAGCACATCTCTCCAAAGTTACAAAACTGAAACTGGAGGGGGCATTACAGATCCATTATACCAGGTGGTCATGTGACTGACCCCCATCATGTGCCACGGCAGAGGCCCCTCCACTATCACATGACTGACCCATCATGTGCCACGGCAGAGGCCCCTCCACTATCACATGACTGACCCATCGTATGCCAGAGCAGAGACCCCTCCACTATCACATGACTGACCCATCGTATGCCAGAGACCCCTCCACTATCACATGACTGACCCATCGTATGCCAGGGCAGAGACCCCTCCACTATCACATGACTGACCCATCGTATGCCAGGGCAGAGACCCCTCCACTATCACATGACTGACCCATCTTATGCCAGGGCAGGACCCCTCCATTATCACATGACTGACCCATCGTATGCCAGGGCAGAGACCCCTCCACTATCACATGACTGACCCATCGTATGCCAGGGCAGAGACCCCTCCATTATCACATGACTGACCCATCGTATGCCAGGGCAGAGACCCCTCCACTATCACATGACTGACCCATCGTATGCCAGGGCAGAGATCCCTCCACTATCACATGACTGACCCATCGTATGCCAGGGCAGAGACCCCTTTATTATCACATGACTGACCCATCCTGTGCCATGCCAGAGACCCCTCCACTATCACATGACTGACCCATCCTGTGCCATGCCAGAGACCCCTCCACTATCACATGACTGACCTATCGTGTGCAACAGCAGAGACCCCTCCACTATTACATTTCTGACCCGTCGTGTGCCATGGCAGAGACCCCTCCACTATCACATGACTGACCCATCATATGCCAAAGCAGAGACCCCTCTACTATTACATGACTGACCCATCGTATGCCAAGGCAGAGACCCCTCCACTATTACATGACTGACCCATCGTATGCCATGTCAGAGACCCACTAAGCATTAGGAGGACTTTGTAACAATGTCATGTACCGGTTTCTCAGAATTAGACATGAAGCAGCAGTGCACCCCCCTCCCTGTAAGGACAGGGACATTAGTATATACAATCCACAACATTTAGCTGCTTTCCAAAACCCATTATCAGTACTTTTATAGGATTGGCAGACTCTGACCCCATTACACATCTCAGTGCCCTCGTAAAACCATCAGGCTCCATGCACAAAAACCGCTGCATGAAAAACACCCATAATTTTTGTGCCAGCTTGTAGTAGTGTTTAGGAGCATTTATTAACATTTTTTACAGTATGTGAAGAAAAGAAACAAAAGCCCAAAAAAAGCTATTAGGAGTGTTTTAGTAGCATTTAGAAGAGTTTAGGAGCATCCAGCATTTTTTTTCTGCTGGGAAAACGCTCCCCAAAAACTCTGCTGCTAATTGCTGAAGCTTGAAAAACTCTGCTAGCATAAAGTAGTGTGCATGGACACATAGACTAACACTACTGGCTTCCAAGAGCAGAAAAATTCTCATAATGGCTTCTAGGAGCTTAAAAAATGTTAGTGTGCATGGAGCCTGAAACTTGCAAGCTTGAGCAATTAGGAAAAGCTACCGGATATCCTGCAAGGTCCCCCCTCCAATCCATCATGAATACTGCTGCCAGGCTCATCCACCTTACCAACTGTTCAGTGTCTGCTACCCCTCTCTGCCAATCCCTCCACTGGCTTCCACTCGCCCAACGAAAAAAATTCAAAATACTAACAACTTACAAAGCCACCCACAACTCTGCCCCCAGCTACATCACTAACCTGGTCTCAAAATATCAACCAAATCGCTCTCTTCGATCCTCCCAAGACCTTCTCCTCTCTAGTTCCCTTGTCACCTTCTCCCATGCTCGCCTCCAGGACTTCTACCAAGCTTCTCCCATCCTATGACACTCCCTACCTCAATCTGTCCGGCTGTCTCCTAATCTATCCACCTTTAGACGATCCCTGCAAACCTTTCTCTTTAAAGAAGCCACTCCTTCTACCTAGGAAACCACCATTTATTTCCTCCATCAGCTCATCCCCCCACAGCTATTACCTTTTGTATCACTCAACCGTTCCTCTTAGATTGTAAGCTCTAACAGGCCCAGGCCCTCTGTTTCCTCTTGTACCAAATTGTATTGTAACTGTAATGTCTACCTTCATTTTGTAAAGCGCTGCGCAAACTGTTGGCGCTATATAAATCCTGTATAATAATAATATGTAAATTAGCAGACTATAACTATATTAGTAGAGTATGGGGAGCCAACGGGTCACATTACCCCTCCTAGGTAAAGTAGACATCCTAAACCTATCATATTTATATTCACTCAAAGGGTAATTTCATGCTGGACAATAATATGCAAATTAGCAGACTGTAACTATATTAGAGGGCATGGGGAGCCAACGGGTCACATTCAGGGGCAGACTGACAACTCATGGGGCCCCCGGGCAATAGGGGATCATGGGGCCCCTGTGTCCTTGCCCAAACTCACAAAAGCCTATGAAAAAGGTACCAGGGGCATCTCATGGGGCCCCCTACTGACCCCGGGCCCTTGGGCGGTGCCCGAGTTTCCAAATGGTCAGTCCGTCCCTGGTCACATTACCCCTCCTCGGTAAAGTAGACATCCTAAACCTATCATATTTATATTCACTCAAAGAGTAATTTCATGCTGGACAATAATAAGCAAATTAGCAGACTGTAACTATAATAGAGGGTTTGGGGAGCCAACGGGTCACATTACCCCTCCTGGGTAAAGAAGATATCCTAAACCTATGGATTTATATCCACTCAAAAGGTAATTTCGTGCTAGACAATAATATGCAAGTTAATAGGGTTGCACTGTTATTGGTGCCGATACTAAGCATTTGCATGAGTACTTGTGTATCTGAAACCGATAATGAATGGGCTCAAATCACACTGAAAAGAATCCATACGATTTGAACTGAAATCGCGCTACTTCAAATAAAGTCCAAATTGCATGCAGCTTTCCTGTGGGTGCGGTGTGCTTTGTGCCATTCATTTTATATGGTTCAAGCTGCACTCCACCCCCAGGGAAACCACGTGATCCGGTCAGGAATCACACCTCATTCCTGTTCAAATCACATTCTCTTCTTTGCAGTGCGATTTTAGCCCATTCATTTTGTATAGACTGAAATTGCACTGTAACGATATCGGCAATCCGTATCGGCGATCACTTGAGCACAAGTGTCGGTACTCACAGATAAAAAAAACTTGTATCAGTGCAACCCTACAAGTTGTGTAAATAGTAACCTTTGCACTGAAGGATATAATCCCCAACCAAAATACAGCTGCCAATACTTGAAAGACTCCTGATACTAAGCCCAAACAAACAGTGTATAAATAAAGCGTGGTGCTAATTGCAAACAATAAGTAGCTAAATTAGCACACTCTAATTTTAAATTATTGAAGTAAACCCAAGGAAAAACATTCACTTTCACCCTTGAAAGCTGACAAAACTATAAATTATAAAGTCTTTTCCTTTCCCAAATTATATTAATACATTAAAAAAGTAATCATAAATAAAATAAAGAATAATAAATAATAAAATAATATAAATATAGATAAATGTCCTCCTTATCCAAATGTCCACAGGTGCAATTCCGAAAAAAACTATAGTCTTTTTTTTCTTCCAAGAAAATATCTCTTATTTTCAATCTTCAAGTAATGTCCAAATATTCATATACCTCAAAAAACCAAAAAAACTCAACATATGTGTGTGTGTTTATGTGTGTGTATTATGTGTGTGTGTTTGTTTTTATATGGTTGTATATATATATTTGGTATATATATTTTGTGTGTATGTTTATGTGTTGTGTGTGTATATTATAGGTATATTATTGTTGTGTTTGTTTTTATTTATGTGTGTTTTGTGTGTGTATATATGTATATGTGTTTTTGTGTGTGTGTGTATATTGTTTTGTGTGTTGTGTTTTTTTTTTTGTTTTGTTGTGGTGTTGTGTGTGGGTTTTGTTGTGTGTGTGTGTTATATGTATATGTGTGTGTGTGTGTGTATATTTATTTTGTGTGTGTGTTTGTATATATGTATATTGTGTGTGTTTGTATTATGTTTGTGTGTGTTATTTTGTTATGTGTGTGTGTATATATTTTGTTTTTTTGTGTGTGTGTTATTTTTTTTTATATGTTTGTGTGTGTGTGTTTATTTTTGTTTTTTGTTATATGTTTTGTGTGTGTGTTTATTTATTTTTTTGTTTGTGTGTGTATATTTGTATTGTGTTGTGTTTTTGTAATTTTTTATTTTTGTGTGTGTGTATATGTTTTATTGTGTGTGTGTGTTGTTTGTTGTGTGTATATTTATTGTGTTTTTTTTTGTGTGTGTTTTATTTATATGTTTATGTGTGTTGTTTTTTTTTTTGTGTGTTTTTATGTGTGTGTGTTTTTTTTGTGTATTGTGTGTGTGTGTGTGTATAATTTTATGTGTTTATATATTGTGTTATGTGTTTTGTGTGTGTTTTATTTTTTGTTTTTTTATATTTGTTTTTGTTTTTGTTTTATTTTTTTTGTGTTGTGTTTTTGTATTTTTTTATATATTATTTGTGTTTTATTTTTGTGTGTTTGTGTTTGTGTGTGTGTGTGTGTTTTTTTATTTTGTGTGTATGTATATTTTGTGTGTTGATATATATATATATTATTGTGTGTTTTTTGTGTTTATATATTTTTTTATTTGTGTTTTGTTTATATTTGTGTGTGTTTATTATGTATTTTATTTTTTTTATATTTTTATTATATATATATATATATTGTGTGTGTGTGTTTCTCCTCATAAATGAATTGGCAATTAGTGAAGGTACCATAGAGTATAAAAATTTATTTGGCAACTTACATTAAAATGTGCAGATATCAGCTCCCCATCACAGAGACACAATACACCATAATATAATAATCATGTATAAATCAAAAATGTAAAAGTAATAAATGAGTCCAAAAGAAATGATTAATCATTTTCCAAAAAGTCCCCCCAAAAGGACTGCAGTGCTGAGTAGTTCTTCTTAAACAAAACACCCAGTGACACCAAATCCGTGCAAAAAGATCAGCAGCTTACCAGATGTCATAGACCTAAAAAGCAAAAGGTCTATGTGGGCGCATGTGCTCCTTTAGGGTTGTTCCGGCCACCCTCTTGCCAAAAGGATCACCTGATCCGCAATCTTTAAACCAAGCAGAGTTGCTCAGTAGCTTTGAAAGTTAAAAACACAACGCGGGCGCTTAGTGTAAAACCGTACGGAATTAAGTACCAAAAACAAGGTATTTCACTTACATTCAAAAGAGTCTGACACCGGCCAGACAGCGCATCATGAAACGCCATAAGAAGCGTTCTCGTAGGCTGCTCATAAGACTAGCCAATTGTCTGCAGTCGTAGACTTTGAAACCAGGGGTCCACAATATAGGTGATATCCTCACTATGACATCAGGTGTACCCCAATATAGGAATCACCCCTTACTATGACATCAGCAGTCCCAAATATAGGGGATGCCCTCCCTATGACACCAGGGGTTTCTGATTTAGGAGACAACACCCCCCCCATCATATAGTTTCCTGTAGTCTGGGCAGCTGATTGGTGTAGCCATGTCTGTTTCAGCAGCTTATGGTCACATGATCTCCCCTCTGCTGGCATTTTGGTGTCAGGTCCATAGAGAGGGGCACATGGTGTCGCTGTTCATGGTGGAGTTTGTCCGTTCACCAATCACACTTCCCATTGACTCCACCTGGGTTCCCAGCTCTATCCATCTGATGAGACTTCAGTAGTAGGAATGAGACTTTAAACATTTGGGTCCTCCGTGTTGGTTGTAGGTGGAGTGTCAGCTCTTTGTCTCAACAGGTTGGTCCGGGAGTTCGTTGCTCAGAGTAACACGGCGCAGATCAAACATGTGATTCAGATCCTATCTCAGGAGTTTGCGCTCTCTCAGCACCCACATAGCCGGAAGGGTGGGCTCATTGGACTGGCAGCCTGCTCCATCGCCCTTGGAAAGGTGGGTGGACTAATTCAGTGCTACATGCGGGGGGATGGGTGACAGGAGTGATGTCATCATTGGGTTAACTTAATTCCACTATAGAGGCACAGAGACAGGAGGGGGCGGGGCATGGAGGGGTATGTGGGGGCAACTAGAGTTTAGGGTGGAGCATGGATGCCTGAAGGTAGAAGAAGTGCCTGGGGTCATGGAGGATTCAGGGATAAGAAAGGCAAGTGTGTGTGTGTGTGTGTGTGTGGAGGGGGGGGGGGGGGGCAATAGAGTTTAAGACAAAGGCAGGATGCTGGGGGAGGGGAGGCTTGGAGGATTTAAAAGAGAGAGGGAGAGCCCTGTGGGGGTTGCACAGTTTAGAGCAGTTCAAGGCAGAGGAGGAGCAGGGAGTATATAGGGTAGAGGAAGGGCATGGAGGATTTGGGGCAAATACGGAGCAGTGGGGATGCAGGGGCAGGGAGGATGCAGGGTGGATGCAGGAGCAGGGAGGATTCAGGGAGTATCCAGGCGCAGGGAGGGTTCAGGGCAGATGCAGGGGCGGGGAGGGTTCAGAGCATATGCAGGGGCAGGGAGGATTCAAGGCGTATGCAGGGGCAAGGAGGATTCAGGGCGGAACCAGGCGCAGGGAGGGGTTCAGTGCGGATGCAGGGGCGAGGTGGATTCAGTGCGGATGCAGGGGCAGGGCATATGCAGGGGCAGGGAGGGCTCAGGGCGGATGCAGGAGCAAGGCGTATGCAGGGGCAGGGAGGATTCAAGGCATATGCAGAGGCAAGGAGGATTCAGGGCGGAACCAGGCACAGGGAGGGTTCAGTGCAGATGCAGGGGCGAGGTGGATTCAGTGCGGATGCAGGGGCAGGGAGGGCTCAGGGCAGGGGCAGGGTGGATTCAGGACAGATGCAGGGGCAGGTGGATTTAGTGCAGATTTAGTGCAGGGGTTCAGGGCGGGTGGATTTAGTGCAGGGGCAGGGAGGGTTCAGGGCAGATGCAGGGGCGGGTGGATTTAGTGCAGGGGCAGGGAGGGTTCAGGGCAGATGCAGGGGCGGGGTGGATTCAGGACGGATGCAGGGGCGGGTGGATTTAGTGCAGATGCAGGGGCAGGGCGTATGCAGGGGCAGGGAGGGTTCAGGGCAGGAGGAGGATTCCGTATGGATGCAGGGGCGGGTGGATTTAGTGCAGATGCAGGGGCAGGGAGGGTTCAGGGCGGATGCAGGGGTGGGTGGATTTAGTGCAGGGGCAGGGAGGGTTCAGGGCGGATGCAGGGGCGGGTGGATTTAGTGCAGGGGCAGGGAGGGTTCAGGGCAGATGCAGGGGCGGGGTGGATTCAGGACGGATGCAGGGGCGGATGGATTTAGTGCAGATGCAGGGGCAGGGAGGGTTCAGGACAGAAGGAAGATTCAGTGCGTATGCAGGGGCAGGGAGGGTTCAGGGCGGGAGGAGGAGGATTCAGTGCTGATGCAGGGGCAGGGAGGGGTTCAGGGGCGGGAGGAGGATTCAGTGCGGATGCAGGGGCAGGGAGGGCTCAGGGTGGGAGGACGATTCAGTGCGGATGCAGGGCAGGGAGGGCTCAGGGTGGGAGGAGGATTCAGTGCGGATGCAAGGGCAGGGAGGGTTCAGGGCAGGAGGAGGATTCAGTGCGGATGCAGGGGCAGGGAGGGTTCAGGGCAGGAGGAGGATTCAGTGCGGATGCAGGAGCAGGGAGGTTTCAGGGCAGAAGGAGGATTCAGTGCGGATGCAGGAGCAGGGAGGGTTCAGGGCAGGAGGAGGATTCAGTGCGGATGCAGGGGCAGGGAGGATTCAGTGCGGATGCAGGGGCAGGGAGGGTTCAGGGCAGGAGGAGGATTCAGTGCTGATGCAGGGGCAGGGAGGGTTCAGGGCGGGAGGAGGATTCAGTGCGGATGCAGGGGCAGGGGGGGGCTCAGGGGTGGGAGGACGATTCAGTGCGGATGCAGGGCAGGGAGGGCTCAGGGGTGGGAGGAGGATTCAGTGCGGATGCAGGGGCAGGGGGGCAGGGGGAGGGTTCAAGGCAGGAGGATGATTCAGTGCGGATGCAGGGGCAGGGAGGTTTCAAGGCAGGAGGAGGATTCAGTGCGGATGCAGGAGCAGGCAGGGTTCAGGGCAGGAGGAGGATTCAGTGTGGAGGAAAGGCTGCAGTATGTGATGTTCCCTTCCTCCTTTCCCCTCTTGTCTGCAGGACTCTGGTCAGTATTTGAGGGAACTTATAGAGCCTGTTCTCACCTGCTTCAATGATGCAGACAGCCGGCTGCGGTATTACGCCTGTGAGGCTCTGTACAACATCGTTAAGGTGGCACGAGGCTCCGTGCTGCCTCACTTCAACGTCTTGTTTGATGGACTAAGCAAGGTAACGGGGAATGTGACGCGATATCACTGATGGCATGTCAGATTGAGGGGGACGTTCTGGGTCCTGTTGGGGGGAGAGGGACATTTTGGGGTCTGTTTGGGGTGGGTGGTTTACTGGGGGCTGTCTGGAATGTTAAGCGTCCTTTGGTAACAAAGGATGCTCCAGGGCCCATCAGAGGAGGCCATGTTCTGTGGCCCAATGGGACAAGGGGCATGTTCGGGGGCCCATTGGGTGACGTTTTGGGGCCCACAGGGGAAGGTGTGTTCTGGCGCCTGTTGGGAGAAGAGGAGAATGTTCTGGTGCTGATGTGAGCATCAGATGAGGACTCTGGGGTCCTGGCATTGGCATGACTGTTGTTGGAATGGGCAGACGTCTGCCATCTATGGGCACATTGAGGAGATTGGAGGGGGTTTGGCACAAAAGTGAGGGGGGGGTTCATAGTGGGTGGGGAAAGGCTGTGATTGGTCAGGAGGACTCTGCTGGGTTGGTCAATACCCTTCATCTCTCTGCCGTCTCTTCCTGCAGCTCGCCGCTGACCCAGACCCAAACGTGAAGAGTGGATCTGAGCTTCTAGACCGACTGCTGAAGGTGGGTGTGTAACATTTTGGCAGCTTGTGACTAGGGCTGACCACACTGGACTTTGTTTTAATACATTTACCAGTGCAGGCAGAAATCACCAAATGGAGACTGTCCCTTGTTTGCACCTTTGCACCCCTCACACTGACACTTGGGGTTACCAATAAAAAACTTGATCTGCTACATACACAGCACAATGTCCAGTGTGAACAAGCTCGAGTCCCCACCCTGTGGCCCTTTAGATCTTAATCTTTGGCCCCTTGCTCACTGCCTCTCTGTGAAGCTGTGTGGGCGGGGGGGTCTCATATTTTAGAAGTGAATGTTCTGATTTTGAGGTTCAAACAAAAACTCTCTTCATACTTTGTCGTGTGACCTCATAGCATGACCTCAGCATCATTCCATAACGTGACCTCAAAGCATGATCGAACAGGATGTCATAGCATGATCTAACAGCATTATCTCAACGTGATGTCATAGCATGATCTAACAGCGTCATCTCAGAACGTGACGTCATAGCATGATCTAACAGCGTCCTCTCAGAATGTGACGTCATAGCATGATCTAACAGCGTCACCTCAGAACGTGACCTCATAGCATGATCTAACAGCGTCATCTCAGAACGTGACGTCATAGCATGATCTAACAGTGTCATCTCAGAACGTGACGTCATAGCATGATCAAACAGTGTCATCTCAGAACGTGACGTCATAGCATGATCTAACAGTGTCCTGTCAGAACGTGACCTCATAGCATGATCTAACAGCGTCATCTCAGAACGTGACCTCATAGCATGATCTAACAGTGTCATCTCAGAACGTGACGTCATAGCATGATCTAGAACAGTGTCCTGTCAGAACGTGACCTCATAGCATGATCTAACAGCGTCACTCTCAGAACGTGACCTCATAGCATGATCTAACAGCGTCATCTCAGAACGTGACGTCATAGCATGTTCTAACAGTGTCATCTCAGAACGTGACGTCATAGCATGATCTAACAGTGTCATCTCAGAACGTGACGTCATAGCATGATCTAACAGCGTCCTGTCAGAATGTGACCTCATAGCATGATCTAACAGCGTCATCTCAGAACGTGACCTCATAGCATGATCTTATAGAGCCATCTTGTATTGTTGCTGTAAATGTGACGACTGCCTGACACCCCTCAACAGGAAGAAGGGTCAGCCGCACACTGGAAGATTGATGCATGCAGTGTATATTTATTGATCCATAGGACACACAAAACACAAGGACATGAATACAGGACCTGTTAACGCGTTTCACATGATCTCATGCCTGACACCCCGTCTGGGTATCTCTACTAAACAACTCTTCCAGTCTGGAACCAAAATATAGCAAATTTACCCAAGCATCAGACAGAACCAATGTTGAAGTAAACCAGGACTGACTTTATTAACAGACAGCACAGAATTTATACACAAAAAAACCTTCCTTCTAGACAGGTATGGCACACATTACAAGTCCCAGGAAAAAATACATTAAGTAAACAATCCAACACAAGAATACAAGGGATTCCTTCCTGGCACCTAGAAGTCTGGACTCTGGAGGTGATTAAACAAAGGGAGAGCTTATCACCTCAACCTAATTACAGAAAACAATAGTTGATGCCAGGAAACCTGAAACAGAAAGTAAAGTTTCTTAACCCCACATATGCTGGAATTCACCCAATGCACATAGTTCCACTATACAGAGTATGCCAAGGGGTCCCAGAAACGGTCCCTCCAGTCCTAAGTGCATGTAAAGAGTAGCTGATATAATTCACAGCCAGCCAGGTACCCAGGGCAGTGATATTAACCCTCTTGGGGGGAATAGGTTCATTGTAACCAAAAGAGGGGGGTCTCCTTAACCCCTTCACGCCGGCGCCTCCCGGCCCTTTAAGGCTTTCAGAAACCGGGAGGCAGAGTGGGGTTTAGGGTCATGTGACTGCCGTGTCACGGTGGTCACATGATTGGGAAAGGTCCCGATTGAAAGAGGAGATCGGGACCGTTCCGTGAGTACCGGACATGTGTGCTGGGGGCGCGCAGAGGCCCAGACGCCGGGAGGCCGCACATTTGCGTTCGGCTGGCGTGAAGAGGTTAATCTTGGGGCCATAGTCAGTGGGAAGGAGGCTGGCCCCCAGGCCTCTCCAGGAGCTCAAGTCATGGTTGTTTCTGTGACCCTGATCTTCTGTAACCCAATGTTCATTTAATCAATTAAAGTCTATGCTATGAGAGCACGGATGGCAGTAATCTGGTGTCTTGCATAAGTTGTGCTTTGAGTGGTGTCAGTACGATGATTTGAGGGGTGTCAGTACGATGACTGCTATCGTGTCAGTTACTCAGCTTGTCATTGCAGGATATTGTGACGGAAAGTAACAAGTTTGATCTGGTCAGTTTCGTTCCTCTTCTGCGTGAGAGAATCTACTCCAACAACCAATATGCCCGGCAGTTCATCATATCCTGGGTGAGTGTTCACTCTTAGTTCCTATGTCTGTCTATTGAATATTCCGCTGCTTTTATACAGTTGCCTATTCGATTCAATGGCCAACAGGTATTGGGGGGGGTCGTGCTCTGCTGCTTTCCTGGAGAAGGAGGAGGTGGGAGTGTATGGAAGAACATCCAGAGCTGTAGATCATGGTGGCAATGTGGGGCTGAAGTGGCTTCCTAGGGCATCTCCTGGAACAGAGGGGCTGTAATAAACTCTTTAATGAGGTTCTGGAAGGGAGTCCAGAGGTTGAAGTGGGGTCCTGGGGTGACTCTTGGAATTTTAAAGCTATAGTGGGGTGCTGCAAGGGACTTTTGTAATAGTTTGACTATAGTAGGGTTATGGGAGGACTTCTGGTATTTTGTGGCTTTAATGGGGTCTTGATTGTGAGGGGAGTCTTGGAATGATGCAACAGTATTTTGGGTCTTGGAAGATCTTCTGGAATGGTGGGGCTGTAGTGGTGTCCTGTGAGAACTTTGAGATTGTAGTGGGATCATGAAGGGAAGGGGTGTAATGTTGGGGATTTAGTGGGGGGAAGGGGGTCTTGATTGGGCTGTAGCGGGGTCCTGGTGGGGAGGGTTCTTGGTGGGGCTGTAGCGGGGTCCTGGTGGGGAGGGTTCTTGGTGGGGCTGTAGTGGGGTCCTTTTGAGGACTTGTGGAATGGTGGGGCTGTAGAGGCATCTCGAGGGGAGCTTTTGGAATGGTGGGGCTGTAGTGGGGTCCTGTGAGAACTTTGAGATTGTAGTGGGATCATGAAGGGGGGGTAGTGTAATGTTGGGGCTTTAATGGGGGGAAGGGGGTCTTCATTGGGCTGTACCAGGGTCCTGGGGGGGGGGGGGGTTCTTGGTGGGGCTGTAGTGGGGTCCTTTTGAGGACTTGTGGAATGGTGGGGCTGTAGTGGTGTCCTGTAAGAACTTTGAGATTGTAGTGGGATCTCGAGGGGAGCTTTTGGAATGGTGGGGCTGCAGTGGGGTCCTGTGTGGCTCTTAGAATAGTGGGGTCTGAGGGGCTCCTGATAAATGTTGCTTGATCTGTTTTCAGATTCTGGTGTTGGAGTCAGTCCCAGACATTAATCTGTTGGAGTATTTGCCAGAAATCCTGGACGGACTCTTCCAGATTCTTGGAGATAACAGTAAAGAGATCCGGAAGATGTAAGTAGATGGGGGTTTTCTGAGCTCCCTTCTGTGTGCTCATCAATCTCACCAGAACATTCTACAATAAATCCAATTGCACTAATCATTAGCTGGGTTTCTCAGATTGGCGGAGGTGTGTGAGGATGGCAATTCTCACCAACCATTCAGAATCATGTTTGGACTCTCTGTTCCTGAATAACCCGGAAAGGTTGCATTAGAAGCTGGGTTCACATCTCCTGGATGCCATCAGATCTTGTTCTGTTTGCCCGTCCACCTTACCAGCCAGGACTATGGCAGACTGAGACTGCGTGCTGTGTAGGGGCATGGGCAAGAACTGATTTTGGATCCCATCTTGCAGGTGTGAGGTTTCCCTGGGAGAATTCCTGAAGGAAATAAAGAAGCTTCCAGAAAGTGTGAAGTTTGCAGAAATGGCCAATATCCTCGTCATTCACTGTCAGTCTTCAGGTAGGTCCTCCCAATCTGGTTGACGTTTTAGATGTTCTGAAACTTGTGGAGTACCATCAGTGACGGAGGGATTTTTGTGGTTCCCCTCTATTGCTGATTTTCCATCGTGTTTTACATTTTATGTGGAACGTTGTAAATATATGATGGAAAAATTCCTCCAGTCCACAGGAAAAATAAACCTTTTTTATTGTAGAGAGCATAGGACATGCCCATATGGTAGCATCTTCATAACCTCATCGGTGGAGATGGAAACCTCTTACTTCAAAGTGGACCTCTCCTAAAATGGCTTACTCTGTTTTTACTGCACACTGTGAGTTTTTCACAATGTGCATTAAGTCAGATAGAGCCTGCCTCATTTACTGGCTGGAAGATGTCCATCATCATCTAGAGCTTTCCTCCCCAGCCTTACTGTCTCTGACCTACCCCTTGTATTTGCTGGATTTCAGTTCTTTCAACGAGGCTCAATAATGTGGCATGCAATTAATGAATGGTAGCAAAAGTATGGTGATATCTGCTTTTCCATATAAATCAGCCATTAGTGGAGCAGAGTCCTACTTTACCCCATCTTCATCCTGTTGTCACTGACCTGGGACATTGCCATGACAGGGAAGTGTTCCTGTGGTACTGACATTAGAGAAGTTGACCTGTGGGCAGGGTTTGGCTTGTGGCAAGGCTGCTCCTCCATAGATACAGTACAGTGAGTCAATGTTGTCACCCTAAGGACAGGACAACATAACTTCTCCCTCTGTTATGGAGGTAAGAAGGGGGAGGTGTATTGTAGCCCTATCCTAGGGTGGCAATGCTTTTCCTCCATAGGTACAGTGAGTGAATGTTGTCACCCTAGGACAGGACAACATAACCTCTCCCTCTGTTATGGAGGTAAGAAAGGGGAGGTGTATTGTAGCCCTATCCTAGGGTGGCAATGCTTGTCCTCCATAGGTACAGTGAGTGAATGTTGTCACCCTAGGACAGGACAACAGAACTTCTCCCTCTGTTATGGAGGTAAGAAAGGGGAGGTGTATTGTAGCCCTATTCTAGGGTGGCAATGCTTTGTCCTCCATAGGTTCAGTGAGTGAATGTTGTCACCCTAGGACAGGACAACAGAACTTCTCCCTCTGTTATGGAGGTAAGAAGGGGGAGGTGTATTGTAGCCCTATCCTAGGGTGGCAATGCTTCTCCACCATAGATACAGTACAGTGAGTGAATGTTGTAACCTCAGGACAGGACAACAGAACTTCTCTCTCTGTTATGGAGATGAGGTGTATTGTAGTCCTGTCCTAGGGTGGCAAGGCTGCTCCTCCATAGGTACAGTACAGTGAGTGAATGTTGTAACCTCAGGACAGGACAACAGAACTTCTCCCTCTGTTATGGAGATGAGGTGTATTGTAGTTCTGTCCTAGGGTGGCAAGGCTGCTCCTCCATAGGTACAGTACAGTGAGTGAATGTTGTAACCTCAGGACAGGACAACAGAACTTCTCCCTCTGTTATGGAGATGAGGAGGTGTATTGTAGTCCTGTCCTAGGGTGGCAAGGCTGCTCCTCCATAGATACAGTACAGTGAGTGAATGTTGTAACCTCAGGACAGGACAACAGAACTTCTCCCTCTGTTATGGAGATGAGGAGGTGTATTGTAGTCCTGTCCTAGGGTGGCAAGGCTGCTCCTCCATAGATACAGTACAGCGAGTGAATGTTGTAACCTCAGGACAGGAAGTTTGTTACTGGCAGGATCACCAGGTGAGAAAGGAAATAGGATCCTGAAAAAAACCCCACAAATTTTGGGAAAGCAAAACCTGCCGATTTGGTTGGGGGGTGTGAGTTGGGTCAGTGTAGATGTATTTGTAGGGAAGTGTCCCTTGCTGGTCCCGTACTGTCATTCATTCTTGTCCATTCACAGATGATCTGATCCAGCTCACCGCCATGTCCTGGATGAGAGAGTTCTTGCAGCTGGCGGGAAGGGTGATGCTGCCGTATTCGTCGGGGATTCTGACCGCCGTGTTGCCCTGCCTGTCATACGATGACCGCAAGAAGAGTATCCTTTGCCTGTGGGCAGCATGGTATGGTGGCAGTCATGATGCGGTCTGCCTTATTTCCTTACATAAAATCCTCTGCAGACATTAAGGAGGTGGCGAATGTTTGTAATCAGAGCCTGATGAAGCTGGTCACCCCAGAAGATGATGAATCAGACGACACAAGTCTTTTACCAAGTGCCTCACCCGAGGAGGATTCCAGCACACACCCGGAGAGCGACGGGCACGGTAAGAGCGTCTGATCTCTGTGTGCAATCTGGGCATTGTGAATTGATGGGATCAACCAATCACTGTGTGTGGTCTGTGTAGTGTGGGGTGATAGTCTCATGGTTTATAAGAATGATCACATGACCGCTGTTTGGGGTGTATGAGGAGGATGATTGTGTGATCACTGTGCAGGATGCATGAGGATGATTGTGTGACCTGTGTTCGGGGTGTATGAGGAGGATGATCATGTGATCACTGTGTGGGGGGTGTATGAGGAAGATGATTATCTGATCACCATGCAGTGGGGTGTATGAAGAGGATGATCGTGTGATCACTGTGCGGGATGTAGGAGGAGGATGATCGTGTGATCACTGTGCGGGATGTAGGAGGAGGATGATCGTGTGATCACTGTGCGGGATGTAGGAGGAGGATGATCGTGTGATCACTGTGCGGGATGTAGGAGGAGGATGATCGTGTGATCACTGTGCGGGATGTAGGAGGAGGATGATCGTGTGATCACTGTGCGGGATGTAGGAGGAGGATGATCGTGTGATCACTGTGCGGGATGTAGGAGGAGGATGATCGTGTGATCACTGTGCGTGGTGTATGAAGAGGATGATCGTGTGATCACTGTGCGTGGTGTATGAAGAGGATGATCGTGTGATCACTGTGCGTGGTGTATGAAGAGGATGATCGTGTGATCACTGTGCGTGGTGTATGAAGAGGATGATCGTGTGATCACTGTGCGTGGTGTATGAAGAGGATGATCGTGTGATCACTGTGCTTGGTGTATGAAGAGGAGGATCGTGTGATCACTGTGCGTGGTGTAGGAGGAGGATGATCGTGTGATCACTGTGCGGGATGTAGGAGGAGGATGATCGTGTGATCACTGTGCGGGATGTAGGAGGAGGATGATCGTGTGATCACTGTGCGGGATGTAGGAGGAGGATGATCGTGTGATCACTGTGCGGGATGTAGGAGGAGGAGGATCGTGTGATCACTGTGCTTGGTGTATGAAGAGGAGGATCGGTCGTGTGATCACTGTGCGTGGTGTATGAAGAGGAGGATCGTGTGATCACTGTGCGTGGTGTATGAAGAGGAGGATCGTGTGATCACTGTGCGTGTGGTGTATGAAGAGGAGGATCGTGTGATCACTGTGCGTGGTGTATGAAGAGGAGGATCGTGTGATCACTGTGCGTGGTGTATGAAGAGGAGGATCGTGTGATCACTGTGCGTGGTGTATGAAGAGGAGGATCGTGTGATCACTGTGCGTGGTGTATGAAGAGGAGGATCGTGTGATCACTGTGCGTGGTGTATGAAGAGGAGGATCGTGTGATCACTGTGCGTGGTGTATGAAGAGGAGGATCGTGTGATCACTGTGCGTGGTGTATGAAGAGGAGGATCGTGTGATCACTGTGCGTGGTGTATGAAGAGGAGGATCGTGTGATCACTGTGCGTGGTGTATGAAGAGGAGGATCGTGTGATCACTGTGCGTGGTGTATGAAGAGGAGGATCGTGTGATCACTGTGCGTGGTGTATGAAGAGGAGGATCGTGTGATCACTGTGCGTGGTGTATGAAGAGGAGGATCGTGTGATCACTGTGCGTGGTGTATGAAGAGGAGGATCGTGTGATCACCGTGCGGTGGGGTGTAAGAGGAGGATGATCATCTGATCACTGTGCGGTGGGGTGTTGGATGGTGATGGTCATGTGATCACTGTGCGGGATGTATGAGGAGGATGATCATGTGGTCACTGTGCGGGATGTATGAAGAGGATGATCATGTGGTCACTGTGTGGGGGTGTATGAGTAAGATGATTATCTGATCACCGTGCGGTGGGGTGTGGGATGGTCATGTGATCACTGTGCAGGGTGTATGAGGATGATCATGTGATCCCTATGCACAATGTGGGGTGATCAGTGAAGATGTGCTGTGATGAATCGGTCACTTCAGGACATTTCATGGACATCCTGTATATCTGGGTTGGTGTATGTATAACCAAAACTTTGTTCTTTAGTGTTGGTTGAGGGACAGAGGAATTCAGTTATTGTTGGGTTATTCTGCTGTCTGCAGGAGGATTTGGACACTGGCACACAATAGCCAGTTTCAGCCTGGAATAACCACCCCCTACTCCCAGCATGGCTCAGTTTCAGCTCGTGTTTCTCTGCTGAAATTATTCTAACCTTTGTCCATAGATTTCTGTCTGTTTTTTTTGTTTCTGTTTTTTTGTTTTTTTTCCAATTTGAATCCTTCACAAGCTGCTATAGCTATATGAAGCTGTGTGGATCAGCACACCCTAAGAAGGGGCTTTGGAGGCTGGATAATCGCAGGGCTATCCTGGAATGTGACCTTGGGGCACAGGGCCCTGCGTTGTGGCCCTTTTCAGACCTGAGTGTATCCACAAAGGTCTCGAGCCATGGCACAGCCCCCCGGTATCTTCCTCTCACTTGGTGGGTAGGCTGGGTGAGCAGGAAGATACTTCTCTATTGAGCTCATTGGGCGCCATTCTTAGAATCCACAATTTCCTGTTAATTGACCACAGAAAGGGTTAATGCTGAGGGACTTCTGACCTCATCCACTAGATAGAGCTTGGCACACTCTTGGTCCCACCAGTCATGTTGGCCTTTGCTGCCCGCTTACAGTGACCTGGCCACCACTGGCGTCCTGGACCTCCTTCTGATGCCAGCAGCTGGTTTCTGACTACTGAAGATCCAGCCTTGGAGCTATGCAGTGTAATATGTCAGATCCTCAATGCACAGGGAGAGCGGTCCTGCTGTACTGGATCCTGCCAACTTTCCATCTCCTAATGGTTCTGGGACTTCACCAACTGAAGGGCCTGACACGGACAGCCTGGAATGTTTCCCCTGCTGGAGTCCCTCCCATTCTTTGAGTTGTCCTTGGCTTTGTTAGACGTGCCCCCTCCTTGGTTCCATTCCAAGGTTCCATGCCGGGAAGAATTCACTGCAGTCAGGATGTTATTGTTTGAGTCAAACCTCAGAGATCTTCTCATACTTCATGCCATCCCCTTCAGAATCATTATCTGATCTGCCTGCGGTCTCTGAGCGTTCAGCTGCCAAGGCCTTGTGTGATGCCAAACCTCTAAAATCCTTGACAGTTGACGTTGCCCCCGAGGAGCCGCTGGTTGCTCTTATTACTCCCAGACTTACAGTCTGTCTGAGCTTTTATTGACATGGGTCACACTGTAATACAACTTGAGGATCAGCCTGCACCTTCTACCAATGTTGTTACTGGTTTAGTCTCCTTTTGAGGAGCCTCAGACCACCAAGAACCAGTGAACCCATTGGTCCTAGCTGTCCTTCATAGGGACTCCCTGATGAGCTGTTTACACCTTCTGATCATTTGGTAACCCTGTATCCATTCGAGGAGTCCTTTGTTAGGAAGTGGGCTCTACCAGCCATGGATTTGGATATTCCATCTTAAGGTGTTGATGAGGAATGGTTGAAGATCTTCTCCAAGACTTTTTCTCTGGCAGGACCTGCCGTGGCTGTGATGCTAGTCTGTCAGATTAGTTGTGTGGACTAAGGCTGTGTATGTAGGGGGGCCTGTGGTCTCTACTCTGTATGTAGGGAGGGCCTGTGGTCTCTATCTTGGATGTAGGGGGGCCTGTGGTCTCTACTCTGTATGTAGGGAGGGCCTGTGGTCTCTGTCATGGATGTAGGGAGGGCCTGTGGTCTCTGTCATGGATGTAGGGAGGGCCTGTGGTCTCTGTCATGGATGTAGGGAGGGCCTGTGGTCTCTGTCATGGATGTAGGGAGGGCCTGTGGTCTCTGTCATGGATGTAGGGAGGGCCTGTGGTCTCTGTCATGGATGTAGGGAGGGCCTGTGGTCTCTGTCATGGATGTAGGGAGGGCCTGTGGTCTCTGTCATGGATGTAGGGGGGCCTGTGGTCTCTGTCATGGATGTAGGGAGGGCCTGTGTTCTCTGTCGTGCATGTAGGGGGGAGGGTCTGTGGTGTCTGCCGTGCATGTAGGGGGGAGGGCCTGTGGTGTCTGCCGTGCATGTAGGGGGGAGGGCCTGTGGTGTCTGCCGTGCATGTAGGGGGGAGGGCCTGTGGTCTCTGCCGTGCATGTAAGGGGGGCCCTGTCTTCTCTGCCGTGCATGTAGGGGGCTGTGGTCTTTGCGAGTCTGTGGTCTCTGCCATACGTGTGTGTGTGTGTGTGTGTGTGTGTGGGGGGGGGTGTGGGAGGGATCTGTGGTCTCTGCCGTGTATGTAGCTGGGAGTTTTGTGGTTTCTTCCATATATGTAGGGGGGGGGGGGTCTGTGTTCTCTTCTATATATGTAGGGGGGTCTGTGTTCTCTTTCATATATGTGGAGGGAGAGGTCTTCAGTCTATGCTGTGTATGAGGGTGGTCTGCGATCTCTGCCACGCATGTAGGGTGGTCTGCGGACTCTGGTCTCTGCTGTGTTTTGTCGGGGTCTGTCCTCTGCGTATGTGTGCTGTATATGGCTTCAGGTTCCCCGGCATGCTTGCCCTTTTACCTAGTGAAAGCACCGCGATATATTCTGTATGTAGTGGTTGTGTAGCGGAGGTACATGGTTATCTGGTGAATTATGTTGGGTTGTTGTCTTCATCCCTGACAGAAGGCTTACAGAGGAAGTCTGTGTCATGTAAATGCACATATCATGAAGTGTAGTCACTGCCTGCTGAGTGTGAACTGTTTTAATAAAATGTGCCGTGAATAATCAGAATTATTGACCGTAAAACAATCCTTGCATTGGCCGGGAATCGAACCCGGGCCTCCCGCGTGGCAGGCGAGAATTCTACCACTGAACCACCAATGCTGCAGATGTTGAAAGTTCTGTTGTTTTGAGCAAGTTTTGACACACATGTGCCACAGCAGAATCTGGACGGTTCCTATCACAGGCTCTGCATGTAAGTTGAGAGTCTGAGTACAAGTGGGTCCTTTGTGTGAGAAGCATTGGTGGTTCAGTGGTAGAATTCTCGCCTGCCACGCGGGAGGCCCGGGTTCGATTCCCGGCCAATGCAATCTGAAATTTTA